CTTTGAAAAATAAAATATTAAGATTACTGAGAAAGTAGATACTTAACTGTTTGATATTATTGTTAATAAAATTAGGTTTGTCAATAATGGGTCTGGTACGTAAGTGGTTCTCTGAACTTACGACCATATTTGGGCAGTGTTCTCCCATTTTAAATAATTATACCTAAAGCATGATAGACTGTTGCGGTTGTTCTGTGATTGGGCAAAAATTTGTGTTGTGTAGTAAATTCCGTATGTAGAAAATGTAAAAAAGAAAAACTGTTTACTGTTTAGCGCATGATGAGGCCACCTTTACGTACAGTTATCATCATCAGCCTATTAATGTCCCCATCGCCGGGGTACTTGCATACCCTATGGATGGAATAGGGAGATTGGGCCATGACCCACCACGCGGGCCCAGTGCGGATTGGTGGGTGCTAACGACTGCATCTGCAGCCGGGACCAACGGCTTAACGTGCCTTCCGAAGCACGGAGGATCTCGAGATAGTAAATTTTTGGTCACCCATCCAATGACCTTCATTAACTTCAACGATCGCAGCCGATTGCGCTAACCGCTTCCGCCATCGAGCTCCTCAATTACAGTTATATTATATCACTTAAGCATATGTGTAAGTTTGTTTCTATTAATATAGCTGTGTTGATGGTTCATAAATAAGTAAATAAAAATAAATAAATAAATAAGAGTTGTGTTTTGCTAGGAGTAAAAGTATGCAGATTGCCGCTCGACCTTGGGCGGTTGTGTTGTTATTTTTGTCGCGCAATCCGCGGGTGAAGCTATACTATAGCCAGGTACCTACTATTGAAGTTGACTTTCGATATATCGTAATCGACCTCGTCGTCCGTCCTTCTCGAACTTACTTAGTTTTTGATGACTAGAGCAGGACACGACACGACAAAGTGCATGATACATCGAATTTTGATTTAGGAATACTCCATCAAGATTGTTTACTAGCTGTATTTTGCGTTTAATTCGCTGGAGATTACACGCAGATTTATTTAACCTCTGCCTACTATTGTACAGGGTTCCGTACCCAAAAGGTGACAAACGGAAACCAACGAATACGTTTCCTTTGCTTGTCTGTCTGTCACAAGGCTCCATCTATTGAACGGAAATTTGTGGACACCTGAAATTTTCACTGAATGCGTGTTACCGCGGTCGATGTAATGTAGGTACAATATATAAAAGTAAATAAGTATAACAAATTCAAAAAATAATAAATGGCCCTTTAAAATACCCGTTCAAGTCGCTCGCTAGTAGGAGATAAATGTTTGTATGGAAAATGGATTAGTTCATCAGGTAGGCGAGTTCGCAAAAAAAAAATAGTTTTTTATAGACATACGGTAGGAATCGATTCGAAACGACAAACTTTACGGTGCATCCACTGTCGGTTTTTCAGATAAAGCCAACGATATTAAATATCCTATCATTGGATAAAGCCCTCTGCATCTGCATGTCTCGTTCAAGCGGTGATGACCATCCTTGAAAATGACCTACATTATTGTTACAATCACGTTTGATTTGAATAGTATCTAGCTCTAAGAAACCTCTTCCTTTTTGTTTGCATAGTATGCAGTAGGATTGTTGTCGTCTTTTATGTTGTTTGTTTGCCTCTTATACTTAGACGATTTAATAATAATAAACATTTCCAATACTCGCACCAATTAGCCTAGCCCCAAAGTAAGCACTGTGGCTTGTGTTATGGGATGCTAGGGTAACGCATAGAATACATATACTGTACATATATAAGTATATTTATATAGAAATACATATTAAACATCCATGACTGGAGTACAAATGCTCGTATTCATCACACAAACTTCTGCCACCGCCGGGATTCGAACCCGGGACCTCTCGAGTTTGATTAAGGTGATGCTGAGGAGCTCGATGGTGCAGGTAGTTAGCGCATTCGCCATGCGATCGTGGAAGTTAAGTAACTTTCGAAATGGTCGGTCATTGGATGGGTGACTAGAAACTTTGTTTGGAGCTCCTGCGTGCTTCGGAAGGCACTTTAGGCCGTTGGGCCCAGCTGCATCTGCAGTCGTTAGCAACCGCAAATCCGCAATGGGCCCTCGTCCATCCATAGGGAAGGCCTGTGCCCCAGCAGTAGTCTCGAAAGTCTCGTTTTTCCCGGGGATCCCGGGACCGGCCCGAGTCTCGATTTCTTTTCCCGGGACTCGAAAATGTATCGATACTGAAAGCCTTAGTAGTTAGTAAATATTTTTTTGTGTAATAACACCTTTATTTACTTAATTGTTCAACAGATGATAAAGATGATGAAAATGTTTTCATATTTAAGGATCACGTTCGGCAGAGCATTGATAGACATAGGCAAACCTTAATAACATCACAAACGGACGGACAGACAGCGAACTCCTAAGCAATATTACCCAATAATAGTGAAACCTATATTTAATGTACACAGAATTAAAATATCGATAGCACAACGTAGCTGAGAATAGCCCATTCATCAATACTTTGTTGCAATAATAAATTATCGTTTTTAATCAATAGCGCTAGTTAACTAATGGTCAAATCCAGCCTGAAAACAAAGCAGTAATTGAAAGATATTTTGAGTCACAGAGCAAAAAAAGATTAGAAGGGTGATCAAAGACAATCAATCAATCAATCAAATCATTTATTGCATTCATGTAATTACAGAGATGGTTAAATACATGTTATAATGTACGTTACATGAACCTTGTCAGGGTATCGCAAAACTTGGTGTTCTTATGAATAAAATTTATGATAATCTAATATAAAATTTAAATAAAATTTTCTTGAATTTACGTAATATAAATATCTACTATCAAAATTAATATATTTCATCAATTATCCCATAAAAAATAATATTAATAATTAATTTCAATTGAATTATAAAATAATAATAAAATGAAAACTATGTACATACCAAATTACTAAATATAACCCACCTTAAAATCAACCGTCATCCATCACAAACATATTAAATATTTTAAAATCAGACCGTACACAGGAACCGATGTCGCCGGCTCGCCCCCACTACACTTCCACCTAATAGATAATAGCCAATCAAACGACGCGACATCAAACTATCGAACCAATCAGCGCTCACATACGAGAGCAACGACGCAATCAGAACCAAGTTCTGGTCAATCATGAGCATTTGCTTACACATGAATGCGGCACGCCTGCCTGCCCCGCGCCCCCGCTTTTCTGACCTCTTCTTGTGTTCTATGTTTTGAGCTGTCATTTATTTAAATTAATAAACTCTCAAACTTAACACATATCTATAAGATAGTTATTCGACAATTATCTAAAAAAAAAACAGTTGTTTGTAAATAAAAAGAATACGGAATACTTACTAATTTGTTATGCAGAAAATATAAAATAGAGTCTGTGCGGAAAGAGAACGGGATTTAGATTGGAGGGCGCTGTAGTGCTTTTCTACCGTATTTGTCAGGTTTTACCCCTTTTAGACATGATTAAATACAAAAAACCGCAAGAAATCACAACAACAAACAAATCCGTATCAATACAAAACTTTGACGTTTTACAGATTGCTGGGTTTGATTGCCAAATAAAAATCTTAATGTTAGTTCCGTTTTTCGCCACGCCCATTCTCTTTCCGCACAGACTCTTATATCACAGCCATCATTCACTAACTTCCAAATAGCATTGCGAAATGTATGAAGTTAATTGAACCATCAGCTGATAATGAATAGGCCATTGAACTCTCCTTCTAGAGTTGTTATTAAACTATTGTTTTTATGATAATGAGCGCTCGCGGTTTCCTGCCACCAAAATAAGTACTTTGATCTTGTATGAAAAAAATTGTTAATTACATTTTAACCAATTTAGAAAATAAGGTATATTATTGTTTATGTTCAATCTTATTGTATGTTAAGGTGTCTATCTAATCTAGGTAGATTTTCTTGGAAATAATAAGTGGGTAGATTGTAAGAAAATAATGGCTAGGAACCCACTGAGCGGATTTTGCCCGCACCCGTCGCGGGCGGCCGCAGAGCCGTTTTATTTCAAAACTCACGAAACCGCAGTTTTCTGCGGTCCCGTAGTCGAGGCGAACAAGAGAAGATCGAAAGCTGCCCGCCGCTTCTTTGGGTTTTCTCTTGACGCATCTTAAAGGATCCGTGTTGAAGAAGAGAGGGAAAACCTAAGCAAGCTTATGTATACGTCTGATCAAATGATGATATCCTGGTGTAAAGTGACGGTGGAATCTAGATGGGAAGATGCGGGTTGACGGATTTAGGAAAAAGAATGTACCAATTATTGTCTGTATTTAATATGAATATTAGCAGTGATTTTACTTTTAATTTATAACTTTTCTATAAAATCAGAAATTAATTTTTTTTTTTGCTCCATGTTCACGTGACTGAAAACGCCTGGGATTGGCCAAGACTAAAATGACGTCACACGCTAGTAAACTTCTGGCCAAAGTGACATTACATTGTATCGTTTGACGTTTTAATGACGTTCGTGTGACGTCATACACTAGTGGCATGCCATGATGTCTAGAGAAACGATTCCGCGGCAACTAGAAAATCGAATTATATTTTTTTTTTACTGAATTACACAACAGAATAACGTGAAATTGTTTTATAAAACTTGTCAAATACTCTATTCTTTCATCATTAGAACACGTGAGCGAACATTTATAAATTACTCCAGGAGGATCTCCATGACGCAAGTGTTTAGTATGATCGTTAAGCAACTTTCGCAGTGGTCGGTCATTGGATGAGTGATGGATGATTTTACTATCTTGAATTCCTTCGTGCTTCGGAAGGCAGGTTAAAGCCGCAGGTCCCGACTGCATCTGCAGTCGTTAGCACCCACCAATTCGCACTTCATGGCCCAATGTTTCATCTCATCCATAGGGAATTTCATCCAGCAGTGGGGACATTATTACGCTGATGATGATGAAATTACTCCATCCCACATTATGTTAATTGACGGTGGTATCCAGACACCGAACAGGTTACATTTGTTGTTTCCTTTTGCTCAGGTGACGAGGAGTACACGCCGTCGCGCGGCGGCGACCCGGCGGTGCTGGCCGTGGGACCGGCGCGTCGCCCGCTCACGTACACGCGCGACGAGCTGCTGCGTCTACGCAACTCGCCGCTAGTCAAGCGCAACTTGGAGAACGCGTTCGCTGGCTGCGAGGCTTTAGCGCTGTGAGTTTTTTTTTTTATATTATAGAAGGGATACGAGCAGACGACTCATTTCATTATAAGGAACACCGTGCCCTATAGACATCTGCAACAACAGGACAGAAGTTCCTCGCCAATTCTCGGCTTGAGGTCCCCTTAGGATCTCGCCGTCCCCAAACCCGGTGACGCTGTAAAGGTCATCTGCGAGCAACAGCATACACACTCAAAAAAAGGACAGGAGTAGCACAAATGATATACATGCCTTTAAGGAAGGGATACGCTCTTTTCTTATGTAGATTTCGCTTGCGCTGTGCCCGCACACGAGTTTTGTCTTAATAATACCGGTCTGCACCTGTGCAACTCGCCGCTTGTCAAGCGCAACCTGGAGAACGCGTTCGCGGGCTGCCAAGCGCTAGCGCTGTAAGTACTTTAGTAACCGGGCATGAGTTTTTTCTAAGTGATGTCTAGGAAGGGAACGCGACTTGCGTCTGCGCAATTTGCGTCAGTCAAGCGCGCTACCTGAAGAACGCGTTCGCTGGCTGCGAGGCGTTAGCTCTGTGAGTACTGCTACGTGTTTTGTCTTAGCGATGCCGGTATGTTCTGTGCGCTTTCATGAACTGGGCGCGCAACTCGCCGCTGGTCAAGCGCCGCAATATGGAGAACGCTTTCGCTGGCTGTGGAGCGCTCGCGCAGTATTAACTATAGTGCGAAGCTTAGATTTAAACAAAAAGGTTAGATACGGTACGCTCATACTTGCATCAAACAAAAACTGATCTCACGGCAGCGCGAACGGGACGGCGAGATCCGCGTCACTGCATTACCGACCCGAACGAAACAGCACGTTAAGTTTCAACGGCAGCGCAATCAAGACGGCGAGATCCGCGTCTCTGCATTACCGACCAATCAGGCGACCAGTACTCGACGTAAGATTCAAAACAAACAACAATTTTTATGAACAATATATATTTTATAGTACTTACGAATGAAAAGTGATGTCGTGGGTTCTATTTTTAGTTCTTGAGCAATTTGAGCACTTTTTAAAAACACACTTAGAGATTATGATTTTATTTATTTTTTAAGCATTTAATTGCTAGATGTTTAAATCTAAAGAAAAGTTTTTTTTTTTCTAGTAAACTTTTCTTTAGATTAAAACACTTAGAGATTGTTTTATCATCTATAAACACAAAATATTAGCAATATTTCTTTTTGGCGTTCACATGTACGTCGTTTGCATGTGAAGTTGTGACTAAAGCGATTAGGGTCGTGGACCACAATTGGTGCGGATCACTTTTGTGAAGCTAGTACCGTATCTACCCTTTTTGTTTTAATCTAAGGTGCGAAGTAAGCAACGAGCTCAACTGCGCACAAGTTTCTTTTACTGCGTGCGGCGCGCTGACCTCACAGCCGCCATTAAATTTTACTACCCAGCCAAGTTTTATCTTAACTCGCCGCTAGTGAACCGCAACCTGGAGAACGCGTTCGCTGGCTGCGATGAGTGAGGGCTGTGAATACTTTATTGGCTGGCTAAGAGTTTTGTCTTAGCGATGACGGTCTGTACGCATTTAGTAGGCCATGAATTTTGGATTAGTAACGTCGGTGTGCACGCATTGGGTAAGCTGGTCGCGCTAAGAACACCTGCGAATTCGATACTAGTTCGTACTAACGGTATTGTTAAAGACATGGTGTTAGAAGGCTGTAGGCGTTTTCTTTATCACATAATCGCTTACAAAAGATAGTGAAAATGCAGCCCTAGTGTCGCCCCTGTAGAAACACCACTTTACTATTGAAAACAACTTGTAAGGTAGGTGTGTAGAAGATTTACTTTCCGTTAAATCTGCTGTTCTACCTAGTTCTTGGTTTCACTTTGCGAAGCGAAGGGTGCGGGTTCAAGTCCCGTCTGCTGACTGGTCCACGTGGAATTTTTCCTAGTTATATTTTCTTTAGATTTAAACATCAAACAGTTACATGCTTAAAAAATAAAAATTATAACTATAATCGCTACTTCTTCTTTCAAATGTTTAATACTTGTAAAAGTATTCATTTGACTTTGTGGGTTACCTATAATGCGAAGAGATGGCGCTGCCTTGCAGCTTAACAATGGCTAGAGGAATTTCGACGCGGTCCGTGAGGGCCGCGGTAGCATAATTGGTCAGTGCATTCGCCCGGATAGCGAAGGGTGCGGGTTCGAGTTTCGTCTGCTGCCGCGTGGAATTGTTTTTAGATATATTTTCTTGAAATCATTTTTGATTTTGACTGCATGAGCGTCATAATTTTCTTAGCAGCGAAACATACATGGTAATTATTGCTAACTCTTCTTTCCTGAACCCAACTAGAGTGGGTATGTTAGACTTTATATTTAATCTTGTTTTCCATTGTTGCAGCGTTTTGAAGAGAAGATCCGATTCACCTAATGAAGATGAAAAGGGAGGCAGAGGTGATGCCCCGAACGAAAACCATAAGGTATCTATCATAATCTATGCTTGTCTATGAAAATTTCAAGTTACTCCCTATTAACGTTCAATATATATAAAAAGACTAGCTGTGCCCCGCGGTTTCGTCACTAGCCTATTAATGTCCCCACTGTTGGGGCACAGGCCTTCCCTATGGATGGGTTAGGGAGATTGGGCCATGACCCACCACGCGGGCCCAGTGCGGGTTGGTAGGTGCTAACGACTGCAGATGCAGCCGGGACCAACGGCTTAACGTGCCTTCCGAAGCACGGAGGAGCTCGAGATAGTAAATTTTTGGTCACTCATCCAATGACCGACCACTGCGAAAGTTGCTCAACTTCAACGACCGCAGCCGAACGCGCTAACCACTGGTGCCATCGAGCTCCTTTATTCCTCCTCGGTTTATTAGGCATATTTTCCCGCAGTAAAACGTAGCCTATGTGTTAATCCAGGTTGTCAGCTAACTCCATTCCAAATTTTATTAAAATCGCTCTAGCCGTTTAGACGTGAAGAAGTTGCAAACATACACACTCACAAACTTTTGCCTTTATCATATAAGTGTGATATTGAATTGTATCACTTCAGGTATGGATCTTTAAACTCGCACAAAATTTTGCTATTGCATCATTTTAAAGGGCTACAAACTTCCAATAATATTTACCTTTCAATTTAAAAGTATAATTTTCTAAATTCTTTAAATTAGTGTTGCATGCATAACAAAAACGCGGGCGAAGTATTCGACTTTAAAATGTGACGTCATGAAACTTATGATCCACATGGATCCACCGGTCATGCCACACAATGTAACACTTCGTCCATCCACGGGGAGGGGAGGGATCCCCTCTTAACGTGTGACGTCTTTTATGGACGACTCGTAAGCGGGCAGCATACTCGGATCGGCAGTATTTGTCGAATAACAAAGTCGAACCGAAGTAATTACTACACTTGTTGTACCGAACAATAGGGGTGATGACGGGGTACAGTAAACGAAATTCTATTTAGTCCATCAGTTAGATGATCAAAAAATAAAGGACACGTATTTTTTCTTTGGGCAATCAACCAAAAAATGACAAAGTTATAGCGCGTCAAAGTTTGGGAGTAGGGGCTCGTGACGTCACTTTTGAGTGAATTTTCCCTTATAAGTGTACTCAAACGTGACGTCATGCGACTTTTCAAATCAATATATCTCTGCAATGTTTATATTTTGTGAAAAAAGAAAAAATACGTGTCCAATACTTTTTGATAATCTACCTGATAAACGAAGAAAAAAAAAATTAGTCATCATCCCTATTATCTACATATATTGTACTATACTTGAGGAGCTCGATGGCGCAAGTGGTTAGCGCTTTCAGCTGTGACCGTTGAAGTTCCACAGTGGTCGGTCATTGGATGGTTGACCGGAAATTTACTATCTCGAGCTCCTCCGTGCTTCAGAAGGCACGTTAAGCCGTTGGTCCCGGCTGCATCTGCAGTCATTAGCACCCACCAATTGGCACTAGGCCTACGTGGTGGGCCATGGCAAGGCTTGCCAGATGCTGACCTATCAATTCCGGGACATTTGCACCCCGTTCCCTGAAAAAATAAAGCATCAAATCAAACCCCCCATCACCCTCCAGAATTAAAACATCAAGTAGGTATTTGCCAGATGCTGGCTTATCACTCCCGTGACATTTGCAACCCCCCCCCCCCCCCCCCTCCTGAAATAATAAAGCATCAAATATCAAACCGATGGGAGGATTGATATCCGAGGCTTTATTTTTTGCCCCCAGAAATAAAACATCAAACAGGTGTCATTCGTTATTAGTTAATTTTGTTACGAATCTAGCACATTATCGGAATCCGGGACAATAAGGTTTAATTACTGGACACGGGTCAACACACAAACTTCCGGGTCTATCCCGGAAATCCCGGCCAACTGGCAACCCTAGTCATGGCCCAATCTCCCGATTCATGGGCAAGTTGTGTGCCCCAGCAGCGGCGACAATGATAGGCTGATTATGATGATGATGATTCTACCCACCGCTAAGCCCGCTTATGTATGTAGCTACCCTCACCTTATACTTAACTTTTGTTAATTAGTAATATTAATGTGATGGAAGTTGACATCAACACATGTATTCAATTTTTGATGTCATCTTTCAATTGACGACACTGTATGAAAAAAAACAGGGAGAAAAAAATAGCCCTTGCTGAGTTTCTTGCCGGTTTTTCTCAGTACAAGGTCTCCCGCCGTAGATTTACGGACCGATGGCGTAGCGTTTGACTTTCACAAGAGCTTGTAACAGCATAAACTGAATAAATTATATTCTATCGTCTATGTTAGGGCGTATACGGGCGCGATCGCGAGCGTCGTTCTGCGGACCCTCGTGAACGAGTGCGCAAGGAAAGCTCCCCAACTGGCGGCATCGTGCTGTCCCCGCAGCGGCGCTCCTTCACTTCAGGCTGCGGAGCGCCCGCGCCCGCGCCCAGTGCGCCGGCCGCTGCCCCGGCCGCTGGCACCGTCGGCGCCGGCCCGGCCTCCAACCGCCCCCGGCCGGACTCGCCGCTGCAGACCGCCCCACAGAAACCGGACCAGGGTGAGTGACCAGCGCTCTGATGTATATAACACTCACGGGTGGCATCATGTTGTCTCCGTCATGCCAATCTTTCTTTCATCTCCTAGCGTGAATCAACCAGGGGTCTGAGGCGGCATCGTGTTGTCTCCGTCAGACCAATATTTCTCTTTCTCTTCCTAGGCTGAATCATCCACGTGAGGCGGCATCGTGTTGTCTCCGTCATGCCAATCTTTCTCTTTCTCTTCCTAGGCTGAATCAACCAGGGGTCTGAGGCGGCATCGTGTTGCCTCCGTCATGCCAATCTTTCTCTTTCTCTGCCTAGGCTGAATCAACCAGGGGTCTGAGGCGGCATCGTGTTGTCTCCGTCATGCCAATCTTTCTCTTCCTAGGCTGAATCAACCAGGGGTCTGAGGCGGCTTCGTGTTGTCTCCGTCATGCCAATCTTTCTCTTCCTAGGCTGAATCAACCAGGGGTCTGAGGCGGCATCGTGTTGTCTCCGTCATGCCAATCTTTCTCTTTCTCTTCCTAGGCTGAATCAACCAGGTGTCTGAGGCGGCATCGTGTTGTCTCCGTGATGCCAATCTTTCTCTTTCTCTTCCTAGGCTGAATCAACCAGGGGTCTGAGGCGGCATCATGTTGTCTCCATCATGCCAATCTTTCTCTTCCTAGGCTGAATCAACCAGGGGTCTGAGGCGGCATCGTGTTGTCTCCGTCATGCCAATCTCTCTCTTTCTCTTCCTAGGCTGAATCAACCAGGGGTCTGAGGCGGCATCGTTTTGTCTCCGCCATGCCAATCTTTCTTTCTTCTCTTTGCGTGAATCAACCAGGGGTCTGAGGCGGCATCGTGTTGTCTCCTTCATGCCAATCTTTCTCTTTCTTCTCCTAGGGTGTATTAACCAGGGCTCTGATATAGCGAAAGTTGTAAACGAGTGATATCGTACCGCTACACTTTCTCCTTGGGTGAGACAACGAAGTGTCTAATATAGCGACATTTGGGCGGTATCGTATTATTGCCGCAGCGTCACTCTTTCTCCTCTTTCTAGAGTCAACCAGGAGTCTAATATACCGACATTTTGCTGTTGTCGTTGCAAACTGCCCCTGTACTGAACCCGGGTATCAGGCGTCTAATGTTGCGGCAATTATATAAAATACACTCTCCACGGCACCACGGCTCTCCTTCTCCATGCGTGAGTGAACCTGGGGTTTAATATAGCGACATTTGTAAAATCGTGCTGTCATCTCTGCAGACTGCCAGATAAACCGGACCAGGATGTGTGACCCTGACTCTGATATATAATAATAATAAATAAAATTTTATTTTTAATTTTAATATTTTAAAAAATAACTTTTTAAAATTTTTGTCATTTTGAAACTCTTGATAAGTGTGAAACTGATTGAATTTAAATTTACTATTTTAAGTTGATTGAATTTTTAATTTATTTTGTTTGAGATGTAATTTAAATTGTTTTTACGTATCATAATTATTACTATTTATTATTATTATTTTGATTTGATGCTATGATCTTTGTGTTTGAAATAAATGAATTATTATTATTATTAGTCAAAAAATGCACTGCTCAATACTATTCGAATTCAATATTGCTTCGTGCTAAGGTTACTGACCACAGAACACAGAAAGAGGTTAAATAGTATCATAGATCGTTTGAACGGGAACCGATGTCGCCGGCTTGCCCACACTACACTTCCACCTAATAGATTATAGCCAATCAAACGACGCGACATTAAATAATCAACCCAATCAGCGCTCATACCCGAGCGCGACGACACAATCAGAACCAAGTTTTCGTGAAGTTATGAGCATTTGCTCACACACAATTGACGCGCCTGTCCCGCCCACAATGCCCTTCTAACTTTCCTCTTTCAGTGTTCTGTGGTACTGACCGTGCATGTTTTCATAAAACTTACAACATTAGTAATATGATGACACGTGGCCTGATAGGGTTACTGAAGACTGTTCACACAACTGTTTCTTTCCCTCTCAGGCCTATACTAATCCGGCAGTTACAGGTGACGCATGTTTGAAGACTCAACATGTGTTGTATACTATTGCCTACATTTTTGAAGTGATAACTCCTTATGGGAGGGTAAACAGCTTCGTTACGTAACGCGTCACGACGCCAATCTGTCTGGCTTCCCTTCCTCCCAGGCATACGGCAGCGGTAGGCACGGCAGGTGGCCTCTTTTGTTGTACTAAATTGAATCTCCCTTCTGGTGATGGAAGATCACAGTGAAATGATGTAACTACCTCTTGGTGCTGTTTATAAGTAAGGTTAGACAGGGAGGCCAACAAGAACATGGGTATCCTAAAGACGCTGACAGCTCCCCCCCCCCCCCTCCCCCTCCCCTCGTGGAGCACTTACCGATAGAAACACAGTGGTGTAGTCGTTCTGGCATGATTCTCTAAACTTAAAAACTAAATTTAACATCAGTCTCTCTCTTCAATCATATCAGAATCGACACCATTATCACGTAAAGATCATGGTAATAGGAATGATGACGGGGTAAGGCAAACTTAATTTATATTGAGTCTGTCAATTGGATTACAAATAAATAATTAACAGGTACTTTTTTCTTTTGTCAGACAACCAAAAAATTACAAGGATAAAGCGCTTTAAAAATTGTACCGAGACGTGACGTCATGCGACATTTCTAGGGTATATTCCGTAATATATACCAGTATACTGGCCAGTGCTAATTACGTCATGAATCGACGCTATACTGGTGCATTGTTCCAAAATATACTCGCCAGTGCACTGACGTCATAAATCGACGAAATATTAAAAATAGTGCGAATAAAGAAGATTTTTTATTCACCTCATCAATTAAAAGGAATTCTTTTTGTTTGGATGCCATTAATGTACTTTAAATAAACAAGAAATAAAATTCTAATGCATCTCACGCACCCTCGGTTATACGTCATATTAGTTTTCCCAGTAAAAATATGGTAGCATACCAGTACAATATGGCGTCGTATTCGTGACGTCATTACCACTGGCCAGTATACTGATGTATATTTCGGAAAACACTCCTAATCAATATTATCTATGTAATGTTTTGATTGTGTGAATTAAGAAAAAATACTTGTCCAATACTTTTTTGATAATCTACCTGATAGACAAAGGAAAAAAGTTGATCATGTTCTCTATTGACTGGGGTCTTCTATAGGGAACTACACTACAGTCACAGATAAACTTCACTCTATCTATAAGCATGATGTGTTTAATAAATGGTACAATTTTTTTGCATCGTGTATTAATTCTTCTAATGATTTTATCGCTCAGGTCGTCGAATCGGCTCCGGTCGCATCATGGTGCGGGACATGCCGGCCGCGGGCTGGGAGGATAGCGAATATCGCCCCGAGCCCTATAGGCCGCCTCGGGACCGAGACCAACGCACTAACGGCGACAGGTAAATAAACATAGTGGGAAAGAGAGTGAGAAAGAAAGAAAGAGATATACTTAATGAGAGAAAAGACTACTTTTTGTGTCTTTTTATTACTTATGTTAGATGATAATAAGGTTTAAAATAGAAGGTACGATAAAGCCTGAAACCTAAATGACATACAAACTGCAAACAAGCCTATATGTTGACACGAATTCTTATTAATATTCGAGCAAAATTTGAAATAAATCCATGCAGTACTTTTTGAGTTTATCCCGGATATACATGCAGACAAACAGACAAAAATTCTAAAAACTATATTTTTGGCTTCGGTATCGATTGTAGATCCGACCCCAAGTATTCTTTTAAAAAAATATTCAATGTGCAGTTTTGACTTTTCTACTATTTTATTATATGTACAGATTATTATTAAGGGGTTTAAAATAATTGGCAGATTAATTAACTTTGTTATTCATTATAGGTACGACCGTCGGTCTTACAACCGGGACTCCTACACCTCTGACATGAAGAGGGAACGGGATGACCGATTCAACAACGAAAAAACCCGCGACAGGTAAACATCGTGCTCTCATCATCATCATCATCAGCCTAAAAATGTCTCCACTGGCTGGGGCACAATCCTTCTCTATGGATGGAATAGGGAGATTGAGCCATCCCCACCACGCGGGCCCAATGCGGATTGGTGGGTGCTAACGACTGCAGATGCAGCCGGGACCAACGGCTTAACGTGCCTTCCGAAGCACGGAGGAGCTCGAGATAGTAAATTTTTGGTCACCCATCCAATGACCCATCATCGTCATTAGTTTAATACTATTAATAAATAAATATTTGTTACACTCACACCAATTAAGCTTAGCCCCAGAGTAAGCACTATAGGCTTGTGTTATGGGATACTAGGGTAACGGATAGAATACATATTCTGTTACATATCTTTATATATATAATTCTTCTGTGAGTGTGTATGTCACTGAACTTCTCTTAAACGACTGGACCGATTTTGATGAAATTTTTTGTGTGTGTTCAAGGGGATCTGAGAATGGTTTAGATTCACAATTTTGTCCGCTGGACAACCCCTATTTTTTTAGGGCGGTACGAAGTTCGCTGGGTCAGCTAGTATAAGTATAATTATATAGAAATGCATATTAAACATCCATGACTGGAGTACAAATGCTTCTATTCATCACGCAAACATCTGCCTCCACCGGGATTCGAACCCGGGACCTTTCGAGTTGGTAACACTATGAAACCCGGCGTATAAACCACTCGGCCACGGCAACACTTACACCAATTAAGCCTAGCCCCAAAGTAAGCATGTGTTATGGGATACTAGGGTATAGGGATATAGAATACATTTATAAGTATATTTTTATAGAAATGCATATTAAACATCCATAACTGGAGTACAAATGCTTGTATTTATTACGCAAACATCTGCCTCCACCGGGATTCGAACCCGGTACCTATCGAGTCGGTAACACCATGAAACCCGGCGTATAAACCACTCGGCCACGGAGGTCGTTAATAAATAAATATTTGCAACACTCGCACTAATTAAGCCTAGCCCCAAAGTAATCACTATAAGCTTGTGTTATGGGATACTAGGGTAACGGATAGAATACATATATAAGTATATTTATATAGAAATGCGTATTAAGTCCCCATGACTGGAGTACATATGCTTGCATTTATCACGCAAACATCTACGTCCCACCGGGATTCGAACCTGGGACCTCTCGAGTCGGCAACACCTTGAAACTTTGCGTACAAACCACTCGGCCAAGGAGGTCGTCAAAATTAATTCTTCTTTCCATTGTTTACACAAGCCACTTTGTTTTAAAAACACTAGCTGACCCAGCGAACTTCGTACCGTAAAAATAGGCCATAAAAATAGGGGCAGGTGGTAGAAGAGAAAATTTAGGGTTGTGTGTATTTTTTAATACCACATTATAGAAACATAAATATTGTCAAAAAAATGTAGGGGTGGGTAACGTAGTGTTCTATCAATTTCCTGGGATAACATTCTTCCTAACCCATATGAGAACACTACGTTACAATACCCAATAGTCTGAATTTTGGCGCGAGGGCGCATTGTAGGTTTCAGAACACTATGTTACAGGTGGACAACCATTATCACTTAAGGATATGAAAAATAGATAGAAAGAAAGAAAGAAAACTGTTTTTATTGTTGACAGCACATAACATACACATAAAATGCAAAAATACATTAAACTTATAGTAAAACGAAACGAACAAGTAAAATCAACAAACAATAAAAAACAGCTACAGAATGTGTATTTTATGTGATGCCAACACTGGATATAGTAGCCGATTCTCAGACCCACTGAATATGCATATAAAATTTCATAAAAATTGGTCATGCCGTTTCGGAGGAGTCTGGTAACTAACATTGTGACACGAGAATTTTATATATAAGATTATAATTATTTAATGGAGAATCTGTTTTATAAAACGAGTTTGAACGGGTTTGATGCACTGATTTTATTTATTTATTGACGTTTTGCAAACTTTGCAGAAATGCGTCGTCAGAATGCATCTAACCCGTTGAAACTTGTTTTATTTAATGATTGATGTGCGTGAAAATCTAAGAAACATATCTGTTTTATGTACATTCATACTTAATAGTATGTTACTTGTTGCAGAGACGAGAATCGAAGATCTGGTGGTGGTCGTTATAGACGTTACGATAAGGACGAGGAGCCAGAGTGGTAAGTTTTATATTTGGTATTTGTGCACTTCACCAACCTTTTCATTCCTATCCTCTATTCAACTTGCTTTGAAGCGAAACATAAAAAAAATATAAAAAGTTTTTGAAGTGAAACTTCTCTTGGAGGTAAATGGAAAAATCATATGGAAAAAAATATGACAAATATAAGCAGTTTTCCGCTGGATCTAGGCACGGTTTCTACCCGGGCCGCTGCCAACTAAACTTGCACAAGAGACACGAGAACAGTTTCTATGTTTTTACCGACACCGAACCGTTGTTAACACCTGTTTACCAAACTTTACTGAAAATCCTCTCGTTGACACGGCTCAAAACCATGCCTAGTCTTGGGAAGAAATTATCTCGTTAAAAAGCGTCCTTAGGTTGGCCATATGCTTGGTGTGATTTTTGTCAATAAAAAAGGTACATTGTAAAAAAATACATAATGTGTATTTCTGTTGGTGTTCAAACGTCAACAATAAAATTAAAATACTTAAAGGCTTGAATTATTGTTGAATCTTACTGTACTTCCAATGATTTAACCCATTCTTAACTTGATAAAATAATATTTAAGAGCCCTTTCACATTTTTTGCAAAACAACGTAACTTTTGAGCGCGTCGTTTACCCCCTTAAAAAAGATTTTGACTATTGCCAATAGAAGTACACAGTACATATATTCTTTCTATTGTAAGTAAGTTAATGTAGAATATTTGCAAATACTATTTTCCTTTTTTTGTACTGATCGCTTTACTGCAGCTAGTTTACGGAAAAAACGATAATATGCATGCATAACTTCAAACGCCTGAATCTCTAAATAATGTTCAATAAATTAGATCAAATTAATTACTACGACATCAGAAATATGTTTTTGTTGTCACATAATGTATTAGAATTTTGATTTCCTATCTCATTAATTATCAAAAAAGACATCTAAACTCCGTGAGTTTTCCCAAAAAATAATGCAGGTTTACCTCGTATTTTGATATTGAATTAAAGACAATTACTATCATAACTTTTATAAAAACTAATCTACCATCATTGAACTACCGAAATATGTATATATTTTTATAATTAGTTCATTAATAATTGTTTTATAAGATTCTCAACATCACCCGTAAAATGCAAAAATGACTAGTACAAATCTACCTACGCACCGATCAGTACGGCACCGGCGCAATTTTGTAAAAGGACTCTTTACTAGAGGCACAGAATAAATAATAGCACAAGAGCAAATATCAGCATTGCAGCGGAGTTTGTCGGAAACTAACTTCATGTGTAATTTGCTTTTACACGGATAACTACGGTACGGTCTCAGTTTCAATGCAATTCCGAGGATACCTGGACCAGTAGTGGTATGATTTACTATGGACTGCCCTTAATTAAATACGGACAACTTACCTTCGTCGCCATATTTAGAACAAAAGAAGTTGATTAAGTTATGAAAATGGATAAAGAAAGAATGAGGAGCTCGATGGCGCGGATGGTTAGCGCGGTCTGCGATCGTTGAAGTTAAGCAACTTTCGCAGTGGTCGGTCATTGGATGGGTGACCAAAAGTCTTCCATCTCGAGTTCCTCCGTGCTTCGGAAGGCACGTTAAGTCGTTGGTCCCGGCTGCATCTGCAGTCGTTAGCACCCGCCAATCTGCACTAGGCCCACATGGTGTGTCATGACCTAATCTCCCTATTCCATCCATAGGGAAGGCCTGGACCCCAGCAGTGGGGACATTAATAATGAAAACTCTTTTATGATAGTGCGTCGGATATGTTCGCTCAGGCACATACCGAGGATTTTTACGCCATTTTAAGAAAAAGAGCAGTCTCAATGCTACACTGAGTGCGGGTTGCTACGAACTGCATAACATCTACCTGCTTGCTAAATTTCAGCCTGATCCGTCCAGTGGTTTGGGCTGTGCGTTGATAGATCACTATGTCAGTCAGTCACCTTTGAGTTTTATATACATAGAAGATGAAATGGAAATGCGTCACGAGTGATACTTATACAAACCTAGTAACGTTTCTTTTTTATTGTAGTTCGTGTTCAGTTATTAAAAAAACGGCCAAGTACGAGTCGGACTCGCGCACCGAGGGTACCGTACAAACCTGAATTAACAAAAAATTTTTTGATCATTGAAAATGAAAATCATCTAATTTTACTAAAAATTTACGATTTTCGCAATTTATTCTTTATCGGTACTATAAGACGTTACTTCGTACCAAATTTCAAGATTCTATTGCGATGGCGAAAGTGGTTAGCGCGTTCGGCTGCGATCGTTGAAGTTAAGCAACTTTCGCAGTGGTCGGTCATTGGATGGGTGACCAAAAATCTTCTATCTCGACTTCCTCCATGCTTCCGAAGGCACGTTAAGCCGTTGGTCCCGGCTGCATCGGCAGTCGTTAGCACCCACCAATCTGCACTGGGCCCGCGCGGTGGGTCATGGCCCAATCTCCCCTATTCCATCCATAGGGAAGGCCTGTGCCCCAGCAGTGGGGACATAAATAGGCTGATGATGATGATGATGATGAGGTAAAAAAATGGTTTTTCGCTATTTCATCAAAACGGTAAGTTTAATCGTAAAATAACCTCAGACCACCGTTCCTGAGATATAATGATTTAAAAATTATAAGCGTCATAATATGCATAAGTACGTCACGTTTTGAAAAATTGTACTCGCTTTCAGATTGATGTGAATTTGTGTACCTTTGAATGTCTAAATTGACCGGAGTAAATAAATATGTATGTATAGTAAATATTACCTATTGTTTTTCTTGTTATTCAGGTTCAGTGGAGGCCCAACATCCCAGTTAGAGACCATAGAGTTGCGAGGTTTCGACGATCCGCCCACCCATAAGAAGAATACCACCGCCAATAATAAAGATGAGGTAATTACCCAGTTATTTATTTACTTTAAATAATTCGCTAATTGAGGAGCTCGATGGCGCGGGTGGTTAACGCGTTCGGCTGCGATCGTTGAAGTTAAGCAACTTTCGCTGTGGGCGGTCAGTGGATGGGTGACCAAAAATCTTCTATTTTGAGTTCCTCCGTGCTTCGGAAGGCACGTTAAGCTGTTGGTTCCGACTACATCTGCAGTCGTTAGCACCCGCCAATCCGCATTGAGCCCGCGTGGTGGGTCATAGCCCAATCTCCCTATTCCATCCATAGGGAAGGCCTGTGCTCCAGCAGTGGGGACATTAATAGGCTGATGATGAATTCGCTAATTAAACGTATATACAGTAGAACCCGTTTAATACGATTTCTCGCATAATACGCCATTTTGCGTCAGTCCCTGTAAATTGAGACATGTTTTCATACATTTCTTAACACTTAATTCGATTCGTCATCCCGTTTAACACGCCTAAATCGCCAACACGTACCACACATATTACCTCTTGCTTGTATAAAATTCAATGAGAATGTGAATAACGCACAAGAAGAGGCCCTAAGTGATAATGATCAAGAAGAAGATGAGTCAACTCTGATTTTGTCACACGCCCAGGCATTAGCAGCAGTTAATGATTTACTCGTAAGACCCTATGTTACGACCAAGCCATTGGTCCCGGCTGCATCTGCATTCGTTAGAACCCACCAATACGCACTGGCCCCGCGTGGTGGGTCATGGTCCAATGGCCCTATACCATTTATAGGGAAGGCCTGTGCCCCTAGCAGTAGGGATATTAATAGGCTGATGATGATGATGATGATTACAATGAAAGAAAGAAAGAAATATGTTTTTATTGCTGACAGCACATAACATACACATAAAATGCAAAAATACATATATAATAAAGTAAAACAAAACGTACAAGTAAAATTAACAACAACAAAAAACAGCTACAGACAGTAAATGTGTATTTTATGTGATGCCAACACTGGATATGACTCAGCATACACTGCACTGGTGTGCAGCAGGATTTTTTCCTGCTGTGATGTCACTGCTCTGGGTATGGTAGAATACCAATTCTGCCATACCCATAGCAGTGACATCACAGAAAACAAGAAAAAGGGAAAACACAGATTGAATACATTCTAAATAACAAAACAAAAAGAAAAGAAATCAGTATAGGACAAAACACGTAGCAGTATCTGTGGCAGAAATTATATATTGAAGCAGAGGTAAACTGTGGTGTGTGGGGTAGTCGTACATTAGTCGCCATAAAAATTGCAAACCAACCAACAAATTCAGCATTAAATTGGGAATATCGGCCATACACCTTCTAAACATGAACGTTTTATCCGTAGAAGTGGAACAGCAGCGGTGGGTCTCGGTCGCCAGCCGCTGACAGATTCCGTGAGCCTTCGCCCGCCAACACCGACGCCAATAACACCACCAACACTACCAACGTGAGTGGCCAACATTCATATAACTTTATCCTGCAGAGATTCATCAAGTGTCTAATTATATTACAGAAAAATATATAAGCTTTATTGTTTTAAACTTTCGTGATCACTAACATTATAGCTGTTAACGGGAGAAATATCGGGGACTTATATAAAACAAGGTACATGGTAACAACCCCGTTAATAGCTATAAATTATATGCTATTTGACAGTATGAAAAATAATGTACCAATTGTTGGCATCTGTATTCAATATGAATATTAGCAGCGATTTTACTATTCTGAAAGAACAAATAATTAAGTAATTTCAGAGATGGCTAGAAGAATTTCGATGTTTCCATCAGGGCCGCAGTAGCATAATTGGTCAGTGCATTCGCCCGGATTGCGAAGGGTGCGGGTTCGAATCCCGTCTGCTGCCTGGTCCGAGTGGAATTTTTTCTAGTTATATTTTCTTTAGATTTAAACATCAAGCAGTTACATGCTTTATAAATAATAAAAATTATAACTATAATTGCTATTTCTTCTTTCAAATGTTTAATACTTGTAAAAGTATTCATTTGACATTGTGGGTTTACCTATAATGCGAAGAGATGGCGCTGCCTTGCAGCTTAAGAATAGCTAGAGAGAATTTCGACGCGGTCCGTGAGGGCCGCGGTAGCATAATTGGTCAGTGCATTCGCCCGGATTGCGAAGGGTGCGGGTTCGAGTCCCGTCTGCTGCCTGGTCCGCGTGGAATTTTTTCTAGTTATATTTTCTTTAGATTTAAACATCAAGCAGTTACATGCTTTATAAATAATAAAAATTATAACTATAATTGCTATTTCTTCTTTCAAATGTTTAATACTTGTAAAAGTATTCATTTGACATTGTGGGTTTACCTATAATGCGAAGAGATGGCGCTGCCTTGCAGCTTAAGAATAGCTAGAGAGAATTTCGACGCGGTCCGTGAGGGCCGCGGTAGCATAATTGGTCAGTGCATTCGCCCGGATTGCGAAGGGTGCGGGTTCGAGTCCCGTCTGCTGCCTGGTCCGCGTGGAATTTTTTCTAGTTATATTTTCTTTAGATTTAAACATCAAGCAGTTACATGCTTTATAAATAATAAAAATTATAACTATAATTGCTATTTCATCTTTCAAATGTTTAATACTTGTAAAAGTATTCATTTGACATTGTGGGTTTACCTATAATGCGAAGAGATGGCGCTGCCTTGCAGCTTAAGAATAGCTAGAGAGAATTTCGACGCGGTCCGTGAGGGCCGCGGTAGCATAATTGGTCAGTGCATTCGCCCGGATTGCGAAGGGTGCGGGTTCGAGTCCCGTCTGCTGCCTGGTCCGCGTGGAATTTTTTCTAGTTATATTTTCTTTAGATTTAAACATCAAGCAGTTACATGCTTTATAAATAATAAAAATTATAACTATAATTGCTATTTCTTCTTTCAAATGTTTAATACTTGTAAAAGTATTCATTTGACATTGTGGGTTTACCTATAATGCGAAGAGATGGCGCTGCCTTGCAGCTTAAGAATAGCTAGAGAGAATTTCGACGCGGTCCGTGAGGGCCGCGTCAGCATAATTGGTCAGTGCATTCGCCCGGATTGCGAAGGGTGCGGGTTCGAGTCCCGTCTGCTGCCTGGTCCGCGTGGAATTTTTTCTAGAGTATTTTATGATCAAAACCATATGCGTAATTAAACCGTTTTATTGGCCAGCTCGTCATATATAGAACCCTAAATTGTGATACACAGGACAAGGACTCCGGCGTGGAGTCGTCGAAGCAGGAGGAGTGTAATCCGTCGGCTGAGCAGTCTGAATTCAACCTCGACGAGTTCCTCAAGTTTGATTCTATACCAGAAGTGCTTACGGTGAGGAATAAAATAGTATTTATGTATGAAATATAGGCTAATGTACTTTCAACCTTAAGCCGCACTGCTAAAACTGAAATTGGCTAAACTAGACTGCCAGGGCCCAAGCGGTCATACTGCACACTAGGTTAGGTTAGTGTTGTGACCAAAACGCGCGAGCCAAGCGAGCAAAGCGAGCGTGCCGCGGTAGCGGCGGGCGAATGGCCAGAAAAAATCCATTAAAAGAGACGTTTTCTACAAAAAAGTTAAGTATCACCTCTTAGGCCCTGGAAGTACAGGTTTACCCTGAAATTAGACAGTTAATTTTCGCTTTCATTTTCGATGCCTCATCGATGAAAAACCGAAAATGAAATGTCTCAATTGACGTCCATCGGAATGTGCCTTCGCGATGGAAAGCTTCCGGCTCCCGATTATTTTCGCTAGCATCGATCAGGCATGATGAAAGATCATTCATCAGCAGTTAACGACAAGTTAATACCTTTACTGTCTCTGTATTAATTCTTTATTTAAATAACTTGACACATGTTGTTGTTCCACAAGGAATGGAATATTAGCTTTTATCAAAGGTGATGTGTCTATATACAAACAATGCATTTCACTGTTCATCATTCATAAATCATTGCAAAAATGGATCACTATTAATGAACCGTCTTATATCGCCTTAAGGCTCATATTCGAATGGGCCTCACCAGTCGACCTTCATGGAGGCCATTCACGTCGCGAGCCGTGGCGTCTGGGTAAATCCGTTTCCAGTATGTTCGTAGGTTTTGGTTCCAGAGCGTTGGTGATAGTATATATTTATGAACTAAAAGAAGAGAGATTTCTTTAATTTATAAGAATACGTAACTTGTTATGTAATTCACGTCATATATTTTGGCACTCGCTTCTTCCCGACAAAAAGAAGATGAAATAATAAAATATGACTCATTTATGAATTTATTTGTTTCTTAGGTTTTCACGCACATCACTCATTAAATAAAACGTCAATAAATAAATAAAGTTTCGTGACCCGTAAAAACTAGTTTTATTCATTTATGAATTCTTCAATTCTTTTGCAGTTTTTATGTACCTAGTAAAAAAACTTATATAAAATACTTGTTTTTTTTTTCAATTATTGCTACCAGTTGGTATATATGGAATTTTCTATTCCACATAAGAGAGAGACATTTTATTGACCATATTACATTACAAATGAACATACAAAAAAATAACATTTTGACAATATTTATAGGTAAAAAAAAGGATAAACTACATTTTGTGGTTTGTGGTCAAGCAGGACCCTGCCTCGGCATAATGCTGCCGCACCACGCCACAAAACGTGTCACAGCAGCCCTGGTATTCTGGCAAGCTGGCATATAATAATATCCCTACTGATCCGCATTGAATATTTTATAGTTGAACAAGCTGTCCCAGCGAACTTCGTACCGCCATAAAAAATAGGGGTTGGTGGTAAAAGGGTGAAAATTTAGGGTTGTATGTATTTTTGGTGGGTGCTAACAACTGCAGATGCAGCCGGGACCAACGGCTAAACGTGCCATCCCAAGTATGGAGGAGCTCGAGATAGTAAATTTTTGGTCATCCATCCAATGACCGACCACTGCGAAAGTTGCTTAACTTCAACGATCGCATCCGAACGCACTAACCACTTGCGTTATCAAGCTCTTCAAGCACTGGGCCCGCGCGGTGGGTCATGGCCCAATCTCCCTATTCCATCCATAGGGAAGGCCTGTGCCCCAGCAGTGGGGACATTAATAGGCTGATGATGATGATGTATTTTTGTATAATGTATCATAAAAATTCAAAAACAAAAATTTTGACCTAAAAATATTAATTTAAATCAAGTTAAGAATATACGTATAAAAAAAAGCAGGTTTCATTTCTTCATATTTTGACTATTCAAATGGTGTCTGACGTTTATTATATCATTCCGTGAACGCGGTGGATATCGATCAATGTAAATACAAGGACTCCTCATGTTAAATCATGCAAACAAAAAGAACTAATAGTATCTGTTGGTTTTGCGGTGTGTGCTCGAGGTTGGGATTTTATCTGTTGTATAATGTGTTCCCAAGCTGGTGGTATATACCAACCATATTAAATTTGGATATTACTTAATCTCGATAGCTTCGCGTATCATTCTAGAAATGAATCGTTGTTCAGTTGTAAGTTAAAATTGTTGTTTTAGAATGGCGGCGGTGAGTCTGAAGGCGGCAGTAGATTCAGCAGATGGTTCCGACGGGAATCTCCGACTGCTGACGCCAGGCACTACGACAACTTGTTGCACAACATGCTAGACGGTAACGTATTTTGGATTTTATGAAGTTTTAAAAAGGATGAAACGATAATTCTTACTTATGGACTCGATAAAAAAGATGATTGGGGCATTGCTATACCCTACCTCTTTCAAAATTTTGCACGAATAGTAGTAGTATTATTTATTTAGGGTGTATTCCGTAATATATACCAGTATACATGCCAGTGCTAATGACGTCATAAATCGACGCTATACTGGTGAATTGTTCCGAAATATACTGGCCAGTGAACTGATGTCATAAATCGACGTAATATTAAAAATTGTCCGAATAAAGAAGATTTCTTATTCACCTCATCAACTAAAAGGAATTCTTTTTGTTCGGAGGCCATCGATATTCTTTAAATAAATAAGAAATAAAAATCTAACGCATCTCACGCACGTTCGGTCATACCTCATATTCGTTTTCCCGATAAAAATATGGTAGCATACCAGTACAATATGGTGTCGGATTCTTGACGTCATTACCACTGCTGGCCAGTATACTGATGTATATTTCGGAATACACCCTTAGTGATTGAAATCTGGAAATGAGTTATCTTGTTACGCGTCCTCGCCTAAAACTTTACTTGAGATCATAATGAATTTTGCCAAAGAATATACTTGTAAGTAAAGTATAACTTCATGTAGCTTAGACTCTTTTGATAAGTAGGTATATGTTTGAAAATGACGAGCAACGTTGTTTTAAAAATATGTAATTGTTCCTTTAGACCTGGACAGCAGTAGTCGCGTGGAGCCTCCTCCTGAGCCGGCGCATGTATTCGCGCCTATATCTCCGGCCGCGCCGCCATCTTTGTTAGATCTGCTGAGGCAAGCCAACGCTGCTGCACCGCCGCAACCAGGTATAAATAAAATAAAATAAAAACAAGTGTGCTTATGACCACACAACTGAAGTGAAACTTCTTAAGCTCCATCGTATGTATATATATATATATATATACTAGCTGTCCCAGCGAACTTCGTACCGCCCTAAAAAATAGGGGTTCATGGTATAAGGGTGAAAATTTAGGGTTGTATGTATTTTTGTATGATGTATCATAAAAAAAAATATCTAAAATTGGAAAAAAAAATTAGGGGTGGATTACCCTTAACATTTAGGGGGATGAAAAATAGATGTTGTCCGATTCTCAGACCTACCCAATATGCACACAAAATTTCATGAGAATCGGGAAAGCCGTTTCGGAGGAGTTTAACCACAAACACCGCGACACGAGAATTTTATATATTAGATATATATGTGTGTGTGTGTGTGTGTGTACAATAATATACATGTATGTACATATACATATTTCATTTACAAGCTATAAGAGAAAGAGAGAAGGAAGATGTGCGCGCGAACTGCTTTCTCCTGCTGATATCCCCCACTCAACTCCCGTTCACACTTTTCGTAATGCGTAATTCATTCGGCAGCTTACCCCCCAAGTCAAGCGTGCGTAAAGAAGTTTCAGTTCAATAAATATTTCCAACACTCACACCAATTAGCCTATCCCCAAAGTAAGCACTGTAAGGCTTGTGTTATGGGATACTAGGATAAAATATATAATATACTGTACGTATATAAGTATATATATATAGAAATACATATTAAACATCCATGACTGGAGTACAAATGCTCGTATTTATCACACCAAACGTCTGCCCCCCACTGGGACTCGGGACCTCTCAAGTCAGCGACACCATGAAACCCGGCGTCCAAATCACTCGGCCACGATGGTGGTCAGGAGGGATGACGACTAACTTTTTTTTCTTCGTCTATCTATCAGTTAGATTATCCAAAATTATTGTACACGTATTTTGAAGTGAACTTCATTAGCATCGTTGTGATTTGAAACTCGATGAAACGAAAATTTAACAGTATTTGACACAAGGTATGCGTAATTTTGTAACTCTCTGCAAGATACAGATAGCTGAACGGTAACGGTCTTGGGGTCGACACCAAATGATTGGTGGTTCGATCCTGAGCTCGATAATTTTTTTAATTGTTTTTTTTGTCTTTTATTGAGCTATTATTTATTTTTGGAAACAATTAAAGTATAGAATATTTAATTTTGCCCAGTATTTTACAATACCTGATTAGTTAAGTATTAAACGTTTAGTATTTTGTTGTGTTCGTTATTGTGCGGATAAGGTTTATGCAAAAAAAAAATTTAGATAAACACCAGATAATCCTTAACCCTTTTCGTACTGAAAATTCTCTCCGCCAGGCCTGATATAATAGAAGCGCTTATTCCACCCTTCTAAATTCAGACGTTCTAAATCATTCAGTAACTAATTCAGTCAAGTGAAATAGCATTTAGGAAGTCAGGATCCTAATTAGCATCCTAAATCGGAAGAAGTGTGGCTTCTGACTGACTAAATCATTTAGTACCCTTATTAGAACGCGATTTAGGAAGGTGTAATAGCATTAAGATGCTTCAGTCGCACCGCAGGTGTCTCTGCGTAAGGACGTGTTGTGTCTATAAATACGAATAACGCGAGTGTGCTATGTCGGTGGTAAAAGAAAAAGAAGTTATGAGTAACATAATTGAATTGAATAAACGTATGCCGTATCTTTGGAACAAAAACGATAAAATTAATATTAATATTCTTTTATCCACGTTTTTCGTTTTTTACTTTATTTTATTTTTATTGAACCAACGGCCAGGCCTACGAGAGGACAGATTTTTTGTTGCTTTGACAGGACTGTAGCTATTACGACAAAGTCCGACTGAATTCGCCGCTGAATCAGTTACCAAATTAGTCCAAGTGTAATCAGAAGCTTCTAATTAGCCTTCTTTTTAGGATCCAACATGAAGCAATAAAGATTATTATTATCTCTTATCTATTAGACAAGTCCGTCCGTCCGTCCGTGGTGCTGTTTCAGCGGCCAAACCGTAAGAGATAGATAAAGAGAATGTTTAAGTTATAAGTTAAGAATAGTCTGATAAGACTACAAACCGGATTTGAGTAACGTAGCACTTCCGGTTTTCGAGAAATCACGTGATTTCTATTTCAAACAAAACCACACAAAATCTCCGAAGTTCTCAATTAATTACATTTTTTTTTTGGTGAACATTTGGTTCACTGGTTTGCTAGTTATTATCCTAACTAGGACGACTGAATTTAGTCAGGTGGAATAAGCGCTAGAGCCAGACTTCTAGATTAGTATAATGCATCCGTTTTCATATTCTCAGGAATGGGAGCCGGAGTAGGCGGTGGTGGAGGCAAGATGCAGAGCTTGGAAGAACTGGAGGCCAGACTGAGGCCGCATGCGACCCCACAACCAATGCAGCAGCCCGACCATGAACTGGCAGCTTTCAAGCGCCTGGTTAGTGTAAATTTAATAAAATAAAATACAATTTACGAGCAACTTTGTATCGCATCATATCACCAGCCTATTAATGTCTCCACTGCTGGGGCACAGGCCTTCCTTGTGGATGGAATAGGGAGATTGGGTCATGACCCACCACGCGGGCCCAGTGCGGATTGGCGGGTGCTAACGACTGCAGATGCAGCCGGGACCAACGGCTTAACGTGCCTTCCGAAGCACGAAGTAGCTCGAGATAGTAAATTTTTGGTCACCCATCCAACGACCGACGATCCGACCGATCTCGTCGTGCGTGGTTGAAATCAGAACTAATTTAAGAAAGGTTAAAATAACCCGTTCTATTTTTAGAGAACGGTGTTAATTAGCCAATTATATTTCTTCTACTATATTAGAGTTTTAGCAATATAAATTACCTAAGTGAGGAGAATTTACGTACCTATTCACTTTATGCATTTAGTGGTATACTAAAGTGTTGATATAACTATCTTTTTTATCCCTGTCTTCACCGGCAGCGCCCCCTTGTCAAGGTCATAAAAAGTGGCACAAGATCTTATTTTTTTTCTGTCTCTTTTCTTGGTTTTGCACGACTTGTGCGTTTAGCCACAGTCAATATCAAAAGATCTTAGTTCAACTGTTATGGATGGAGTAATTGTTAATCTAATTTGACGAACTCCGTGGCCGAGTGGTTTGTACGCCGGGTTTCATGGCGTCGCCGACTCGAGAGGTCCCGGGTTCGAATCCCGGTGGGGGCAGATGTTTGTGTGATGAACACGAACATTTGTACTCCAGTCATGGATGTTTAATATGTATTTCTATATAAATATACTGACATATGTAAAGTATATGTATTCTATCCGTTACCCTAGTATCCCATAACACAAGACTTATAGTGCTTACTTTGGGGCTAGGCTGATTGGTGTGACTGTTGGAAATATTTATTTATTTATCTATGAAACCTTTGTTTAGCTGGCTCAAGCGTCTGGAGGTCACGCAGTCCCAGCGGCGGAACAACCCCGCCCCCCTCCACAACCACAACCCATGAGTCTGCTGCAGGTAAATAAAAAACAAAAAGAGTTTTTGGCGGGATTTCATCATAGAGGTATGAGAATAGAGTAGGGGAGATATAGACTCTACTACAAATAAGTCCTAATTTTGTATTAATTTTATTTTGAATGCATATAATATATTCACATGAATATTACTTTTAAATTGACATGAGGAATCGTAATTAATATTGACATTCAATTAAATAATACTCTTAAATTATCATACTGCTTTTTTTTATTATAGGTATATCACACTAAATTGACATAATATATTTTATTTTGAACTGACATTGGGAATTGTAATTAATATTCACATTCAATTGAATTTAAATTATTATGATAAAATATTTGTTATTAAATGAATGATAGGTAAATTTGAAATGACGGTTATTTTTTTATATATTAGAATTATTTGCATGCTATTAATATGGCTAAATAGGTTTAAGATTCTTAGCTTTTAACATATGCTATATGCAAACACCTTTTGTCAACGCTATTTAATGCAAACAAAGATTATACTATTCTATTCTACAATTGGCAGTGTCCCTCTAATAGAAAGAGAAAGAAGATGTGTGACCGCTATCTTTCTCTCTCTAATCGCGCATGCGCATTGGCAATCGTAAGCATCTTACTATTTCGATGTGATGCCATTGGATGCCATGCGTCACAAGAGAGAGATAGCTAGCGGTCCCTCATCTTCTTTCTCTTTCTACTAGACGGGCACTGTTATTGCCGCCTTCCTCACTCTTTCTTATACCTTTATGGATTTCATCGAGTGCGGTGGGCGTTTTATTTTAATTACACATTCTTAAATTCGTTCATAGTGGATATTGTGAAATTTGGTGTGATTCTGTGTTACAACTGTCTGAGCAACTGAAGAATTAGTGCAATCTTTAAAATAAACGCTATTCCTGTCAATTGGACGTGAGAACTTTATTGTGAAAATGCATACCATGGAATCATACTGCAGTGCTCGAAGCATAAGCAACTCAATTTGGTATCTATCCAGTAATCGATTTTATAGATTTTAGATTTAGCTATATATTCATCTTCGTAAAAAGTATCGTTTTTTTATTGAGCGTGCCAGTTAATATATTGAATAAGATACGCGGAACTCACATAAGATTTCCCTGCAGATGTTGAACAAAAGCATGGAACAACAACAACAACAGCAACAGCACCAACAACAACAACAGCAGCAGCAGCAACAGAAGCAGCAGTCGCAGCCGCCTCATATTCCGCAGGAGCTCCTTTACAAGCTCTTGCAGGTGCAGGTAAATAACATGCAATAATAGGGTATTAGTGGTATATACCAACGGCTTAACGTTCCATCCGAAGCATGGAGGAGCCTGAAATAGTAAATTTTTGGGCACCCATCCAATGTCCGACCACTGCAAAAGTTGCTTAAGTTCAACGATCGCAGCCGAAAGCGCTAACCACCTGAGCTATCAAGCACCTCCTATGGAATTTGTACTAGGCTAAAAAGTGGTTCCACGCAAATTCGGGGCGGAAAAATGCGATCAACACGCCGAAAATGGGATCGGTTGGGATTAAACTTTTTCTACACTTGTTTTATTTTATCCAATTAATGGATCGCCAAATTAATTTCAATTTGATTGGCAAAGTATTTTTACTGCGTGCCGGTTGCGGTACTATTGAAGTTCAAATCTACAGAAAAATTATACTAGAAAAAAATTCACATAAAATCCAAAAGTGGATTTTTTTCTAGTATAATTTTCTGCAGCAGCAGACGGGATTCGAACCCGCACCCTTCGCTATCCGGGCGGATGCACTGACCATTATGCTACCGTCACCCTGTCGCCGTGTCAAAATTTTCTGTAGCTTTTCTTAGGCTGTAAGGCAGCACCGTATTCTCTTCGCATTGTTGGTAACTCACAATGTTAAATGAATACCTTTACAAGTATTAAACGTTTGAAAGAAGAAATAGCTATTGTAGTTATATTTTTATTTTTTAAACATTTATCTGCTATATGTTTAAATGTAAAGAAAATGATACTACAAAAAAATCCATTATTTAATAATCATTTTGTGATCAAAATATACGCTTTGAATCTCTTTTTTTATAAGAATTGTAATTAAGATCCAACATGGTAGATGTTTGTTCTCGATCGTTTGTGACTTGATAAAATGTAATTTATTAGTTAACCAAACACCAACATACGGTTTGTGGTGTTATATTTATATATATATAGGTAGAGCATAACAGAGCGCAGTATATCTAAACATTGATTTTTCGCAGCGTCAACAACAACAGCAGCAAGGCGAGATGGGTGTGCACGCTTCAGATAGGGAACTGCTGCAACGGCCCGAGGCTCAGGCGCTGGTGCACGGTGAGTGATATGTGGGGCATGTGACATACCATGTGGTATATATAGTGACAATATCAGCAGCAAGGCGAGATGGATGTGCACGCCTCAGACAGGGAACTGCTGGTGCACGGTGAGTGATATGTGGGGCATATGGCATATATACCACGTGGTATATGAAGTGTGTTTGTATTAAAAAATTAGGGGTTCCATAGGCAAAGAATTATAATGGAACGCTATTACAAATCTGTCTGCAGCTTTAGCTGGCTTTATAATACGATTCATTATTTTTAAAATAGTGTTTTCAACTCCTCATTTCAAAATTAATTTTATTAAGAATCCCTTGTCGTGTAGTGGCTATCTACGTGAAATTGGCAAAATTGTGGGTGTATCCCCGTTGAGCCATTAGAAAAGAAAGAAGATGAATTAAATCGAAATTATACAAATGTCAAAACTCCTTCAATGTGTTAGTATTTAAAACAATTCTAGTCGTTTATCTTAGGATTGAAAAGTTACGCACTTTTATTATTGAATTTTTTGCATGACTTTCTTATCTTATTATTATTTTGGTTAATGAAATCTTTTTAATGATTGAAATGAATTTATGTTATATTTAAACTAGCAAACCAGTGAACCAAATGTTCACCAATTAAAAAAAAAAAAGAAAAAAAAATTTAATTAATTGAGAACTTCGGAGATTTTGTGTGGTTTCGTTTGAAATTCGTGATTTCTCGAAAACCGGAAGTGCTGCGTTACTCAAATCCGGTTTGTAGTCTTAGCAGACTATTCTTAACTTATAAATTAAACATTCTCTTTATCTATCTCTTACGGTTTGGCCGCTGAAACAGCACCACAGACAGACGGACGGACGGACGGACTTGTCTAATAGATAAGAGATTGTTATTTTGTAACCGAAGATGTTTGGTCCTCACCTTTCTTGATATTGGTTTAATTTGATAGGATCGGAATAGTTTGTCAATATAAGCCTGCTTTGTGCATGTATAGAAAAGAAATATGTTACAGTCTGTTTCTTAGGTTTTCACGCACAACACTCATTAAATAAAACAAGTTTTGAACGGTATAGATGCACTGATTTATTTATTTATAGACGTTTCCCATCCTTTCAGGATGCATCTATACCGTTAAATAAATCTGAATAATAAATAAATAAATATTTCCAACACTCACACCAATTAGCCTAGCCCCAAAGTAAGCACTGTAAGGCTTGTGTTATGGGATACTAGGGTAACGGATAGAATACATATACTGTACATATATAAGTATATTTGTATAGAAATACATATTATACATCCATGACTGCAGTACAAATGCTCGTTTTTCATTCATCACACTAACATCTGCCCCCACCGGGTTCGAACCCGGGACCTCTCGTGTCGGCGACACCATGAAATCCGGCGGACAAACCACTCGGCCACGGAGGTCGTTAAAAGTTCTTTTATTTATATTGCAGTCGTTAATTACAGAATTTGCTTTTCCTTACAGTTTAAATTTTTGTTGTATTCAGGTCTGAAAGCTGGCGAGATCACAGTCCAACACTTGATGCAGCAGCTCAGCAACCCCGGCCTGCAGTCCCGACACCGGGAGGTGCTTCTCACCATACTGCGGCTGCATCACCACCAGAGACAGGTAGAGCAATAAGGAAATAAATCACACTAACATTATAAAGGCGAAAGTTTGTGTGTGTGTGTATGTTTGTTACTTCTTCACGTCTAAAAGGCTGGAGCGATTTTAATAAAAAATGGTATGCAGTTAGCTGACACCCTGGACTATCACATAGGCTACGTTTTACTGCGGGAAAATATTTTATTCCTATGGGAAAATCGATGAATGTGAATTTTCCCTATAAAACAGCGTTTAGCACCGCGGGGCATAAATATAGTAGCTATTAAATAAATATTTCTCACATTCACGACAATAGGGTATATTTGACTAGTTTGAGAAAACGGCCCTATGTTTATGACTAATGTTTTATCATCATCATCATCAGCCTATTAATGTCCTCACTGCTGGGGCACAGGCCTTCCCTATCGATGGAATAGGGAGATTGGGCCATGACCCACCACGCGGGCCCAGTTCGGATTGGTGGGTGCTAACGACTGCAGATGCAGCCGGGACCAACGGCTGAACGTGCCTTCCGAAGCACGGAGGAGCTCGAGATAGTAATTTTTGGTCACCCATCCAATGACCGACCACTGCGAAAGTTGCTTAAGTTCAACGATCGCAGCCGAACGCGCTAATCACTTGCGCCATTGAGCTCCTCAGATTTTATAGAAAAGTTATTAATTATTTCTTCTTTCAGAATAATAGTAGTAGGGTAACGTCATTGTAAATATTCATTTTAAATACAGATACCAACAATTGGTAATTTTTAGTTTTCACAATGTGAAACAGCCTACCTAGGCCCCAAAGTAAGCACTGTAAGGCTTGTGTTATGGGATACTAGGGTAAAGGATAGAATAACTATACTGTACATATATGACTAAAGTACAAGTGCTCGTATTCATCACACAAACATTTGTTCCTGCTTTTATTGTAGATGGGAGGTTCTCCTCTTCCGAGTGGAGTGGGAGGAGTGGGTGGAGTGGGGGCGCCCCACCTGGTGGTCCCCCATCATCAGCCCTTACGCTTATCTCCGTTGCCACATCCTGGTGAGAATATATTTTATTTACCCTTATTTACACATTTACAGAAAAAATCCAAAATCCTAATTCTAACCAGGATCCAGTAGCTGATGCGACATTGTATCGCAACAGCGCTGTTATTCTGGCAGGGCCGGTTTAATGACCCAAAAAAAATACAGCATAATCAGCATTTCAAGTAATAATAAATATGCTAAATGAATGTGTTAATTGTCGTGAAATTTAGTCGTTTTTCCGTAATGCTTATATGACTATTCGAAAAATACATGCAACATATATTCTAAAACAAAACTTCAAACCTACAGTTGTAGTCATGAATTTTGAAACTTTGAAAAAAAAAACGTTTCATTTAACTAATTCAGCTGCGTTTTTAGGTTAATAAAATCATTAAACACCTATGCTTTTGTAAAGGAAATACATGGTTGAAAATTATATCGAAACTAGCGGCCCGCCCTAGCTTTGCTTCGGTGTAGAGCTGAAGTGTAGACTACAGTTTTTGTTCTCAGGCTTGTATTATACACAATGACATTCATCTATGATTCTTCTTATACCTGCATGCAAAGTCTCAGCCGGATCGGTTTAAAATTGACAAAGTTTCATACAAACTTTCATCCCCTATTTTATCCCCTTGGGGGTAGAATTGATCAAAATCCTTTCTGAGCGGATGCCTACGTCATAACATCTACTACCTGCATGCCAAATTTCAGCCCGATCCGTCCAGTGGTTTGGGCTGTGCGTTGATAGATCACTATGTCAGTCAGTCAATCACCTTTGAGTTTTATATATATAAAAGATTAAACTTTTATGATTGCCAAGAGCCTGGAAACCATAAAATGTTTAAGAGCTACTGTTTGTGAGTTCGGTAGTACAAAATAACGCATAGATATATTAAAACGAAACTTCAAACATGCAGTTAACTTGCGGAACTCCTAATGATGTGACATTTATGTTACTCCCTTACTATATCATAGTCTAATTGTTATATCTTAATTCTAATGCCACCCAGCTTTTCATTATCATTATAATCATCGTCATCACCAGCCTATTAATAGCATTAACACACGCTCGAATTTGGTCCGGCAGACCAAATCCGCCTACTAAATCCGTTCTCGCTACAGACGACCGAATCGGACAGGTGCTTCACGTACGCCTTCAAGTGCACACGGTGGTCATCATGTCGTTGGACACGAAAATTATGGTGGTAGCGGCTACATTAGCAGCAACATTTCAGCCACCACGTAAAAAGCGGAAAAAAGAAAAGAATGAGCGAAACATTATTTAAGAGAACGTGACGAATTTGGTCACATAAATTTGATAAGAATTTTAGATGAAGATGATTTTAAAATATATCAGCAAATGAACCGCGAAACCTTTGAAAATTAATTAAATTTCCTCCATAATGTAAAATGAGCACCACGCGGCCGTCCTTCTTGGCGTTCCGAACACGACTAGACGTAGTTTGTTCGTCCCAACCGTCCACACGTCCAGATTCAGTACGGAGCAAACCATATCCTATGTGCAAACTAGCGGACCGAGGCGGACTCAATTAATAATAATTATGTTCGTAGGACTACTCTACAGACGGTTAGATTTGGTTCGGATGCGAACCAAATTCGTGGTCTGTTCGAACCAAATTCGAGCGTGTGTTGCAGCTTTAATGTGCCCACTGCTGCTGGGGCACAGACCTTCCTTATGGATGGAATAGGGAATTGGGCCATGACCCACCACGCGGGCCTAGTGCGGATTGGTGGGTGCTATCGACTGCAGATGCAGCCGAGACGTGTCTTCCGAAGCACGGAGGAGATTGAGATTGTAAATTTTTGGTCACCCATCAAATGACTGACCACTACGAAAGTTGCTTAACTTCAACGATCGCAGCCGAACGCGCTAACCACTTGCGCCATCGACCTCCTCAATAATATCATTATAAAATTTCACATTCCTCAATCGCTAAATAAATGGTGTTTGTACAATGGACGCAGCGTTCTGCGTGTCACCGATAATGGCCACCAGTCCTAACACACTCACGGTGCATCATCCAGGTATAGTATTTTACGCTAAATCATGTTAACGGTTAGATCATCAAGTCCTATCCTCATGGAAAGCAATGAATTCGTTATAAATACATCTATTTCCAAAGCTATTTTGGGTTTTGCTTGTGGAATATGTCCAATTTTTCTTCTTTTCTGGACGAACAAAAGCCAAGATTTGGTCGACTATGTTCACTTCACTACACATCGCAATTATAAGCAGTTAATACACTGTTATACAAATTAAAATTACCATGCGCAGTGTCATTGTATCAAAATAATCTTTGGCAACTTTACAAACTAAGAGGTTAAAACATCAATTAACTTTTAAGTTTGATTAGCGATAGTGTGATGTTTGCGAGGACATTAGAATAAAACAGCACATGCATTAATGTAAAATGGTCCGAAATATATAAAAATCTTTATGTCGGACAATTATAAATCCATAAAATGTTAGTAACAATATACTTAAACCTTGGATTATCTAGTATTTATGCTTATATATGCGTACATAGAGCAATCCCATCAAGTCTCAATTAAGCCTTTGATTATATGCACCTAGATACAGCATTAACTGGATGGAAGCAGCACAATATATATATTATTTACGGTAGATATGCTCGTCGCTACACACTCACACATTGTCTTTAGAGTCACGCACACATTGACTTTAGAGTCACGCCCACATTGACATTAGGCCGTATACAGAAAGAAAGCTGGAAGCCGACCACCGCACTGCCCTTTGAAATTAATGAACAACTAGGCTTCAATCTGCTTCTTTTACGTAACTGTTAACAGCGCTGACAAGCGCCGGTCGGCTTCCAGCTTTCTTTCTGTATACGGCCTAATGTCAATGTGGGCGTGACTCTTAAAGTCAATGTGTGCGTGACTCTTAAAGTCAATGTGTGCGTGACTCTAAAGTCAATGTGTGCGTGACTCTAAAGTCAATGTGTGCGTGCGTAGCGACGAGCATATCTACCGTAAATAATATATATTTTTTAAGATGATCGCGTTATCAAAAACAATATAAGACATTATATAAACATTCAAAATCAACTTTAATGTATAGTATATAAGGTCTTAACTTAAGCGCGTGCGTCAAAGAGTAATGACAGTCAAAATGCAAGCTCGTAAAATTGTACAACTTGTAGCTATAGGCGAAATAATATAAACTTTATTTCTTGAACTCTCCTTGTAATTCTGAATGCGCTGTTAGCAATAATTGGTACGAAGAGCGAAGAAAAGATACGGCTATATAACTTACCATGCTTTTGAATATTACTTTTTTTTTAATCATTTTATAGTAAGTATTAGAACAAAATCTGCTTCAAATGCATTAAATTAACAAATATTGTTAGATACCTGTCAGAAAAACAACACTCAACGTACTATAAGTATTTTTACACGTAGCGCTGCGGTTTCTTGACTTATTAACGGTGCGCGTGTCTATGAACCAAGAAGTGCTTCGAAGTGGAGTTCAAGCACTTCTTTCGAACGCACTTGGTGTATCTAGTATGTTTTTAACACAGTAAATAAATTAAGCATAAAATTTGATCATCATCATCAGCCAATTAATGTCCCCAATGCTGGGGCACAGGCCTTCCCTATGGATGGAATAGGGAGATTGGGCCATGACACACCATGTGGGCCCAGAGCGGATTGGTGGGTGCTAACGACTGCAGATGCAGCCGAGACCAACGGCTTAACGTGCCTTCCGAAGCACAGAGGAACTCGAGATAGTAATTTTTGGTCACCCATCCAATGACCGACCACTGCGAAAGTTGCTTAAGTTCAACGATCGCAGCCGAACGCGCTAACCACTTTCGCCATCGAGCTCCTCACAGATTTGATTGCCCTCTCTAAATAATTCAATTAACTAAGTGAACTCCTACAAGCAGGGGTTCCCGCCCGCATTCCTTCACCGCGTGAGTTAGCAGCCCACACTCAGTCGATAATGCAAGGCGCGCTCATCAAGAAGAAGCTGGAGGAACAGAGGGAGAACTACCGCCGTCGCCACGAAATGCATCAACCCAAACAACCCACGCCGATCTCATTTACACCCACCTCCGTGAGTATACTATGCTATTTTTCGTTCAACTACATACAATATTTCTAACACTCACACCCATAGGGTTTTGACAAGTTTTAGAAAACGATCTCACTTCACGTTATTGACTTATGTTTATGGAGTCCGTTAAAAGAGGATATTCATCATTCTGTTGTGTATTTCAGTTAAAATAACCAAATCAAAAACTCCATTTTCAAGTTGCCGCGAAAACGTTTCTCTAGACAATATGGCGTCTTACTAGTGTGTGACGTCACACGACTGTTATTAAAACGTCAAACGATACAATGTAATGTCACTTTTACCGGAAGTTTACTTGAGTGTGACGTCATTTTAGGTTCCGCCAATCCCAAGCGTTTTGGGTCACGTGACAATAGATAAGAAAACTATTATCTTTTTCGTGGGTAATTATGAATATTTTTTTTGTAAAAATATCAAAAATCCATGCCAATATTCATTCTAAACACAGATGCTAACAATTGGCACTTTATTTTTAATACTGACTGTCAAATACCCTATTAGCCTAGCCCCAAAGTAATCACTGTAGGCTTGTGTTATGTAATACTAGGGTAATGGATAGAATTAATAAATCATACATATATAAGTATATCATTATAGAAATACATATTAAACATCCATGACTGGAGTACAAATGCTCGTATTCATCACACAAATATCTGCCCCCGCCGGGATTTATACTGACATGATAGTAATTTATTATACAACGCACATAACTTCCGAATCATCATCATCATCATCAACCTATTAATGTTATAAATATTAACGGGATTGTTACCATGTACCTTGTTTTTTATGAGTCTCTATAATGTTAGTGACCATGAAAGTTTACAACAATAAACCTATTAATGTCCCCACTGGTGGGGCACACGCCTTCCCTATGGAGGGAATGGGGAGATTGGGCCGTGACCCACCACGTGGGCACGTTAGCATCCGCTAAAGACTGCAGATGCACCCAGGACCAACGGCTAAACGTGCCTTCCGAAGCCCGGACGAGCTCGAGATTGTAAATTTTTGATCACCCATCCAATAGGCGACCACTGCGAAAGTTGTTTAATAAGCTACAAATATAAAGAGCTCGATGGTGCAAGTGATTAGCGCGTTCGGCTACGATCGTTGAAGTAAAGCAACTTTCGCAGTGGTCGGTCATTGATGGGTGACCAAAAATCTTCTATCTCGATTTCCTCCGTGCTTCGGAAGGCACGTTAAGCCGTTGATCCCGGCTGTATCTGCAGTCGTTAGCACCCGCCAATCTGTGGCGGGGTCATGGCCCAATCTCCCTATTCCACCCATAGAGAAGACCTGTGCCCCAGCAGTGGAGACATTAATAGGCTGATGATGATGATGATCTTCTAGTCGAAACGATTACCAAACCGTTCACATTAAACATAATATAACATTAGTATTGTGTTTGATCGCAGGTTCTCCGCAAGATGACAGCAGAGAAGGAAGCAGAAGCGCCCAGCCCGAAGCAGCAGCAGTGGGCGCAACCCCCCAAGATGCCGCAAGGAAGGCCCATTGTCAAGGTGGATAGCACCATAGCATATATCTAATGTATTTGCAGGAGCGTATTAAAATCTGGCAACACGGGCCACTTATAGAAATATAAGTTATTTACAGGATTGTTACCATGTACCTTGTTTTTAGCGAGTTTCCGATATTTCGGCACTGTTGCAAGCGCCATGATCACGGGTAACAATCCCGTTAATAAATTAAATTACTATCATGTTAGTGACCATGAAAGTTTAAAACCGGGCCACTTACTTGCGAAATTCAAAGTTTGGCTCTCGACGATCGATATCCTCCACGAAAATTAGTTAGATGTAAAAGAGTTTTCGCCCATATAATAATAAGTATTTAAACTATGCCTCTATGTTTTGTTGTCTTTTGTAAATGCTTATTGCATTTGACGTCACACTTGACGGTTTTAATGGAGATAAAAATGTGTTTATTTTTGGCATTTGGGGTGACCGAAAATCTATCTCGAGTTCCTCCGCGCTTCGGAAGGCATGTTAAGCCGTTGGTCTCGGCTGTGTCTGCAGTCGTTAGCACCCGCCGATTCGCACTGGGCCCGCGTGGTGGTTCATGGCCCACTCTATTCCATCCATAAGGAAGGCCTGTGCCCCTGCAGTGGGGATATTAATAGGCTAATGATGATGATGATGATATTTGTCTTTGTCTATCGCAGGGTAACCAGAGCGGCGCGCCTCCACCCATGAACTACGTCCAGTCACCAGCGGATTATCAGCAGCACTATCTCAATCAACAGCAGGTAACACAACGAGTTTTCCCATTAAATTTAAAACTTAGTTTGACATCAATATCTCCTTTTCATTGTGTATAGAGAATGACCAGGATACAGTGGTGTCGATTCTGGCATAATTCTCTAAACTTAAACTTGAATTTGACAACAGTGTATCCTTGTAATTTTCTGTATAGAAAGAGAATGAGAGATTGTTGCTAAGCTAAAATATGCCAAGAGTTTCGTCGACTCTGGCAGGGTTCTCTTAACTTAAACTAAATTTAACATCGGTCCATCCTTTTTATTTTGTATAGAGAATGACAAGGAAACAGTGGTAGAGTCTGAGCGGAAAGAGTCTATCTGTCAAACGTTAAAGTTTTGTATTGATACGGATTTGTTTGTCGTCGTGATTTCTTAATCTCTTTCCGCATAGACTATATCAAATTTAAGTTTTGGGTTAGATAATCATGCCAGAATTGACATCAATATATACTTAATTATTTCAATCACAATTTTCACGAGGAGAGTTTTCAAGAGTTTTTGTCTCGCCGGTTCTTCAAAGGATATAGATGGATACAATTATTTTTGAAAGTGTATCAATTAAATTCTTACGAACTAATATGCTACTATAAAATAATAATTATATATGTTCTAGAAAAAACAAAAGCATTATTCAAGCGTTAAAGTTCTATAAAATCCATTTAATTTCGCGCGTTAGCACTTGCTGTTGCTGGACTCATTGGACGCCATATTGCTCTGGGGTATTGACGTCATAAGTACTGTAAATAAATGCGTTATCTTGGTATACGAAAACATTAAAGTACCGAGTTGACAGCTGACACTGGCTTAAACTAGCGGTGTGACGTAATAATGTAACAGCTACTACGTCTACTATTTTATCGTGTTTGAAAACAGTAAAAAAAAACTGAAAACTTTGAATTGAATATTAAAATGCATTTTGTTATTTTATGAACTGAAACTTATGATTTTCCGACTCCTTTTTGCCTAAATTGTCGCAATAATGCATTAATATTTATTTCTCTAATAGAGTGAAATGACTGCCAGAATACCAGCGCTGTTATGGTGGGAATATTCCCTTCTGCTATAACAGCATTAAGCTGAGACAGAGTCCTTCCTGATTGGCCTTTTTTCTTTCTCCATATTGGTGCTGTTTTTTTTTATTGCTATATTTATTGTTTTTTTTACTGTGTTGTAATGTTAATAAAAGCTTTTTCTTTCTTTCTTTTAAAATATCCTATTCGTAAGTGATCCTTGTCCGTGGCAAGGCAGTAATTTTGACAAATGGCCCCTCGTTGCCAATAACGATTATATGACTTGAATTTGTTTCGTTTTTGATTCTAGCAAATGGTCGGTGGTGTTCGTTCGTACACACATCCTCAGCAGAGGCAGCAGCAAATACCTAATTCGGTGAGTTTTTTTTTTACATTTGTAGTCACTTTTGAATCCCAGTCACATAATAATATTTTAGAAAATAAAAAAAGCCTTTTAGTTATATTTCGTTTTTTAAGCATTTAACTGCTAGTCGTTTAAATCTAAAGAAAATCTTACTAGAATTCCACGCGGACCACGTAGCAGACGGTATTCGAACCCGCACCCTTCGCTGTCCGGGCGAATGTGCTGACAATTATTCTACCGCGGCCCTGTTGGCCGTGTGGAATTTTCTTTAGTATTTCTTAGGCTGCAAGGCAGCGCCCTCTCTAAGCATTGTAGGTAACCTACAATATCAAGTTTACAAGTAATTAAACATTAAACGAACAACGCATTCCTAGTTTAAACCCTATGTGGTTTTTTGTGAATGTTGTAATTAATGTTTGTGTTATATGTTTAAAAAAAAAACAATTAAAAGAAGAAATAGCAATTATAGTTATAATTTTGACGACCTCAGTGGCCGAGTGGTTTGTACGCCGGGTTCCATGGTGTGATGATATATTAATTATTTCAAACATTTCACTGACCCATTAGACCGGTCAGAGCATCCACCCGGATGGCGGAGGGTACGTTTTCGTATCCCGTCTGTTGCCTGGTCCACGCGGATTGTTTTTCAATAGTCTGTCCATTCTATTATTATCTTTTTGACAGATCGATAGAAGTAAAAACAGCGACACCCTATCACATAACTCGTTCGATTTAAAGCTATAATCGATTTTATGCTACAACATTGTTTAATCGATTATAAGTATCGAAATTATTTTAGTTATCAAAAATACTAGTGTTTAATAAATTATTACAAAATCTCATTACATTTATTATTTTACTTAGTACAAATATTTGTGTCATGAGCACGAGTATTTGTAAAAAGCAGTATAATTTTTAAATGTTTGTTTATCCTAATACTAAAACTCTGTACAATTAGATTTATTTATTAAAATTAATAATTTCACTTAAAAAAATGTTTATAAAAAACTATATCTTTGACTTTTTTCCTTACAATTTGGTTGTACTCATTTATTACTACCGATTATTTGTAATCTGTGACACAATCTTTATGTGTGGCACATCACTAAGTGGGCGGTACCCGTCCATGAAGTACAATATTATTTGTATGACATTTTAACGTAAACAATACAAATTTTCATGGGCGTCGATTTGTCAAAAAGATAATAATAGAATGGTCGGACTGTAGTAAAATTTTCTTTAGATTTAAACAGTGAAATGCTTAAAAAATATAATAAACATTGTTGCCGACCTCTTTTATACATTTAGTTTTTATGGTTTTTTGAAGTGTTTTTAAAGTATTGACATTTTTATGATTTTTGCTATCAAAATTGTTATTGTGTGTCATAGTCTTTGCTTGTCATCAGCTTAAATATTGTTTGTGTTTTACTATAAAATCGTGTTAATAAACCCATTGCGTCCTAAATCCTAGCCTTCATATTCCATCCCATTAGCTCTCCGCTTTAAACATGATGAATTGATATATTTATTGCAATAATATGGTATTGTTTCAGTACAACAACATGAGCAACATGTCCCGCGGCGTCGGCGGCGCCACTCTGCAGCAGCTGCTTGTCCACTCGCACCAGAACCGGCTCAACGGTCAGTACAACTACACAACTATAATGCGATTCAACTAACAATAGGACCGACTGGGCGCCATATTGTGATGTCATAGCTGTCAATTCAAACCAAAATAGGTAGTGAGCAAAAAAAAATTATTTTAATAAAACTCTTTTGTGGTCTGTGTTCACTGGAGGTATTGCCCGTAATCGCCACGCTGGGCAGGCGGGTTGGCGACCGCAGAACGTAGGTTAATTCACTGATGACGCTGCTGCCCGTCACCAGTGAGATTTCCCTCCCCCTACGGCAGCCCAAGATCGATCTGAGTGGCGTGCAATTTGAGAGGCCTATGTCCAGCAGTGGACTAGGATAGGCTGTTGATGATGATGATGATGAACCTTGATGAAACTCTTTTGTCAAGATTAAGTGTGAAAAAGCAGTAATGAATAATCATGCCCTATTACTAGGTCACATACGAACATGTATCCTTTATGTTATGTAAACGAAAGTTTGAAATTTTAGTATAAGAGTTTATGAATGCAACTTAAAGTGACATTTGGTTGACGATTTCAGTTATCAACCATTCATGGCCAAAGCTCAATAAGTGACAAAAAAATATCAACCGATATTAATTATAAATATTTGTTATTGTTTGTTTACAAATGTTTGGTTTTTATTCTTGAATTAGCGGAGTGCTATAAAAGGGTTCAAGTATTTTTTTGCAATCCGTACTTTTCAAGCGACATTTGACAGATAGAGGTCATTGGCTTTCCTATTCTTATTTGAATCGCATTATACTCTGTAACTGTATGACACAGCAGTCGAAATGTGAGTGGACGTTGTATTGGTAGCAATTCATGGTTTTATTTGTAAATGTTGCTACTTCTGTTAAATGCCGATGAGCTTCATGTCTGGACTTCACCGTCACTTAACATCAGGTGGGGTAGAGTCATTAGTCAAAAAATTAAATAAAAAAAATTGCTAATGGTTGCTTTCTGCTTAAACAATCATACTGTAACAATGGTCCACAGAACTTATTTTAGTTAGCTTCAGAAATGCCCAATACTCTTTCTACTTCATCATCATCAGCCTATTAATATCCCCACTGCTGGGGCACAGGCCTTCTCTAGGGATGGAATAAGGAGATTAGACCATGACCCACCACGCGGGCCCAGTGCAGATTGGCGGGTGCTAACGACTGCAGATGCAGCCGGGACCAACGGCTTAACGTGCCTTCCGAAGCACGGAGGAACTCGAGATGGAAGAGTTTTGGTCACCCATCCAATGACCGACCACTGCGAAAGTTGCTTAATCTCAACGATCGCAGCCGAACGCACTAACCACCTGCGCTATCGGGCTCCTCAATCTTGCGGCGTGGGCGTTGGAAATAAATGTATATAAATATTTATAATGATTTCTCAGAATTGGGCGGTACCGTGGGTGCGGGCGGTGGCGACAACCAGTTGGCCAGGTGGTTCTCGCCGGAGCTGCTGGCGCGCGCGTCGGCCGGCAAGCTGCCCTCCGTGCAGCACGTGCCCAACGCCCTTTCGCTGGAGGAGCTCGAGCGGCACCACCACTCGCCCGCGCCGCCCGTGCGCAACTGAGCGCGCGCGCGGCCCCGACACACTTATATACCACCCGCACGCACCGCCCTGATTGGACAATCTCCTCGCGCGTCACTCGACTAAACATACAACTATTATGACGTGACTCGTGAAACACCTGTACTTTTACTTTAAATTATGATTGAGGAGGATTTCCCCAGTGGATTACTACCCGCATATATTGTTTTAAACTTTCATGTTCACTAACATTATAGCTGTTAACGGGATTGTTACCATGTACCTTGTTTTTTATGAGTCTCCGATATTTCGGCACTGTTGCAAGCGCCATGATCGCGGAGTAACTGAAGTAATTGCGGGTAGATGTTATTGGCAGACATATCGGTCTACCCACTTACGTCGTCTTTTATTATCGAAGTAGGGGTATCGAACGCAATAAAAGACGACGAAAGAGGATAGACCGATATGTCTGTCTCCGTGATCATGGCGCTTGCAACAGTGCCGAAATATCGGAGACTCATAAAAAACAAGGTACATGGTAACAATGTCGTTAATAGCTATAATACTACCCGCATTCTATATATTCCAGAGAGTACAACTGAGAATACTAGAAACCAGTATAAAATTATCAGCGCTGACTGAATAATCTCATCGAGCGACAATCATAATCACGTGACTTATATAACTCACCAGTGACTGTACTTTAAATTTTAATTGAGGTAAATTGCGCAAGTGAATTACTATCTACATTACGCATTGCGCGACTTACCTTTAAAAGACACACGAGTAACTTATAAAGGACATAGAAAGTGGACTGTGTTGTCCAACTGTAAAGTTGAATTGGATTAATAACGGATATCTCCGCACGCACCTAGTCTAAAATAACATAGTAAACATAACAATCAAAACTTCTATACCAGAGAGAGAATTGATAGAGGTTCCCACGCCAATCTGTGAAATAAAACTGGCCTGATAAGTGTTAGAGCTGAAGGGTGTATTCCGAATCAAACAAAAGTACGCCGGCCAGTGGTAATGACGTCATGATTTCGACGCCATATTGACAACACTATTACTACACCAGTGCAATATGGCGTCGAAATCATGACGTCATTACCGCTGGCCAGCGTACTGGTTTATATTTCGGAATACACCCGAAATTACCTTACGGCCAATTTCATTCTCTAATGTCTACAATATAGGACTAGTAGTGCCGATTGAAAAGACACTCTTGTCGTTCCTAATATTGTATATATTGTTTATTTAAATATATACAGTATTAGGAAATTGTAGATTGTTAGAGCTTTGGCAACTGACTAAAAAAGCGCGCGTGGGACATAAGAACATTATGCGACATTGTGATTGGTGAATATATAATACGATTGTGAAGACATTTCAAATATATCACATCACACAATCGTCAGTTATAAATATTTGAGTATAAATAAAGTCTGTATGTCTGATTTTCTGAAAGTCAAACTGTCCTAAATCCTATCTTATTTAATCTTGCGTTAAGTGTTATTTTTCGTGCATTATAATAGCTGTACCAAATTACCAGTGAAAAAACCAATGAAAAAAAATATTTTGTGACGTCACCTGCATTTCAAAAGTCAGTGTGACATTAAATAAAGCGCTGAACGCATTTATACGGCCCAATTGGCACTAACAAATCTTTAGTAAGATAAAATAACGTATTTACTCTTTGCGTAACAAATAACACTGACGGAAAGTGTCAACAGATGGCGCTGTTCACAAAGTCTCTCATGTAAAACATAGAAATATGATCTTTTGTTTATGGACTATGTAAACATTGCGATTCTGGTGTACAACACCCAGTTCCTTTGCTCATATTGAGAAATTGACAGTGATAACCTGAAATGTTTACACCAGAACGCAATGGTGTATATTGAACAAACTCGAAAATTTTGTAGGTCTCAAAAATGTTTTGCCCTAAAAATGTTTAAGTATGGTAAAAAATTATACAGTTTTCGTTTATAACTAAATAGTTTTGTATTCCATACCCATCCCAGATTATCATTAATATTAAAATTTATTTAGGACTGGTTTCTAACTAGTTCACTCTTTCATTTGTACATAAGCACGATTTTTCAATAATGAAGTCTTGTTTTAACACTTTTTGGTGCAATTTGTAAATTAAAAGCGGTGGTCATGTGTTTATGAAACCCGTTTTACTGATATAACAATAATGGCATTAGATATTTTATTGTTTATCAATAATGATGAATGGCAATGTTTTGCAATAAAAGTTCACTTAATGCTGACGTTTATAATCGTAAAATATGTAACTGTACCAGTTGACGACGGTTGAAAGCCTTCCTTGTAAAAAAAAGTGCATGGTTTAAATTAATATCTACTGATTCTTTGTGACTCACACCAACGAAATGTTTAAGATCGAAAAGAGATGTCATACATAAATCCATTCATTGTACAGATGGTGCGTTTAAATACTCGCACCGCGGCTAGAATACGGTTTTTAATTAGTAATGACTATTTAATTTATTACTTATAAACTCTAAACAACTTGGCAAGACGAAATTAAATAAAAAAAGATATTTATTTATTTCAAATCTGAATTTTAGTTTTGCTTATCTGGTCAAAGTATATACTGTAAACTTTTATTCATCAAATTGTTTTTGGTGTATAATAAAAGGTATATAGGTGTATATTTTGGAATGTGAAAAGGTCGTTTAGCTTTTATTAAATTAGATGGTCATTACTTAATATTTGAAACAAATATTTCTCATTCGAACATTGCTATTGAGAATATTTATATGCGTGAAATGGAATTGATCAAATATTTTACTCATTAATGAAATTGGAATATGTTTGGCGTTTTTAACATCCAGCCAATCATGCTATGTAACGGACGGACGTATTTTTGATGTATTTATTTGTAGTTACAAATTAGTGTCTAGATTTTTTCTTTGTGTACGTTCTAGCCACTCATATGAATGTGTATTGTTTTGTCGCAACTGTCGGCTCCCTCTAACGGTTGTTTCGCTGAACTATTTCATGGGTTTTGTGAAAAGTTTAGTACCTATGAGAATGTTAATATATTTCTCACGTATAATGTGTCGAGTATGTGCAGTTGTATGTTTGTGATGATCGAGGAACGAGTGGCGGTTTATGTCGCGTGTGCTGTGGTTGTGTATTCTGAGCATTTTTGTTATGACGTCATTGGACCCCAGAGAAATTCGCGTTTCAAAGAAGGCGCATAGTGTATTGTGACGACACGTTTGTTTTATCATTAGCGTGTAGATTCTAGAGTGACCGTTACGTTTTCATGTCATTCTGCGCAGTCCTACAACGACATTTTCTAGAATCGTACCCGGCACGAACACGTTGTCACCTCTTAAACTGTTTTGTTGTGAAATTTGTAGATGTATATGTACCTATTATTATTTTTTTTCTATTTATCTTAACGGTTTTCTTTTTTTACTCGATCACGTTTAACTTTGCCCAGTCGGCGAAGGATTCAGTCAATTATAATTTGTGTAGCCGCTGGAACGTGGCGCGTAGGTTCTTTACCGTCCAAAGTACGAGGCTCATCAGGTCATCAAGCAATACTTCTTTACCTCTAGCCTTTTGTATTTACCACTCCCAAGGGCGGGCTTACGGTGACTCCCACGCAGGATTTTGATGTGATTTTGGATATGGACTCTTAAAGATCGGATCATGAAGCTGCGGTTTTGTTTCGATATGGACGGACGGCGCATTAGATGCGTCCGGATTCTGTACCTTATTTAGTTGGTAATAGTGGCGAAATTTTAGTTGTCGGTATTGTGTGCCGCGGCGGAGCCCGCTCCCGCGCTTACGTAAATACAACACGAGAAAATGTCTCTGTAAGCTTTAAATTATTGATTAAAGAAAAATTTGAAAGTTGATTCACTGTGTTTTTTTTTAATATTATTCATACAATACAATACACAATACTTTATAGATAATATCACAATACAGAACAGAAATGAGGGACATTACAATTGTTAAAAAAGAGTGCTTCAATGGGCGGTCTTATCGCTAAAAGCGATTTCTTCCAGACAACCTTTGGATGGCGAGGATTGAAAGAAAGCTGGAGTCGGCGGTGTCGGTAAAAGAACTTGTTTCTTGGATTTCAACGAATTTATGAAATAAATATATATACATACATACATACACATTACATATACATATATACATATTATACGTACGTATTACATATATAAACATTATATATACATAGACTACACATATAAAGGTTTAGTCCAGTCAGCAGAGATAAAAATGCAGCTACATCGACAAATAGTGATTCATTTACTGAGTGAGCTTGCCTTATGATGCCGGTACTTCGCTTTACTATTTGTGAATTTGACATCGGTCTGTCCTTTTCATACTTTGTGAAGAACGATAAGGACAGACTTGTCAAGGTTACGAATAGCAAGCACGAATAGCCAAGTGAAGTGCCAGTATAAAAAAAATCCTATGACTCCATCAAGGTCATTAAACTATGTGCATACAGCTAAACTTTCATCCAGATCCGTTCAGTAATTTTGCGTGATTGAGTAACAAACATAAAAAAATCACATTTATAATTTGATTTTATTATTATTTTTTAAGCATTGAACTGCTAGATGTTTAAGTCTAAAGAAAATTTCACTAGAAGATATCCACGCAGACCAGGCAGCAGACGGGACTCGAACCCGCACCCTTCGCTATCCGGGCGAATGCACTTGCCATTATTCTATCGCGGTCATGATTGCAAAAAAATGAAGGTTTTGCTCTCGACGTTTTCCTCCACGAAAATTGGATATTTTTTATTTTATTCGGAAAACAAACAATATTTTATTTCATTTACATTAATTAAATATAGAAAATAACATACATCAACAAAGTTTCCACTAATAATATATCTATACATACAATAAAATGGTAGGAAAGTCAAAACTGTACTGTGTATAATTTTTTTTTAAATAATATTTGGTGTGTGATCTACTATCAATACCGAAGCCCAGCATACCGTAAATTAATTTGTAACCTCAAACATTTAAATTACCAGTAGGCCTATCCGCTGACTGCTTTGATAGATGGAAGTAATAATCACCGAGGCGTTTAGCGATCACTTAGACACTTTTTCTGAAAAGCATCGATGATATGCAATTTTCTCCTTAGTTACACACTGTAATTGTCAAAAATGTTAGTGAATAGGCCGGCAGATCAATCTTTCGCGTCGGTGAAAATACTCCGAGCAAACAGATATACATCTCTGAGCGGAATTACCGAACGGTTAATATTTACTCTGTGTTGTGTGATAAACGAACGATTCAGACAAAATACTGAGCAGACGCAAATAATGAGGGCTATCGCGTATGAATCCGCCGCTAGAGGCGCTAGTGTAGCGTGAGGTCTCCGAAATGTCAAATGTTATGGCTTGTTGGTTGACTACGCGGGTTTATTTCTAATTAAAATAATGTTGTGAATAATTGGTAACAATTTGGCTTAATTATGGCAAATATGAGTTTTGTGGCAATGAATGTCAGTTATTAAAAATTTGAGCTTAGAAAAATGATTATGTTCCCATTTTTTCCGAATAAAACGGAACTGCGCGTCACTGTGACATGGCCTATTATGTTTAGGATATGGTTTTTTTGTGTTAAAATACGATCTAAATGTAACCTTTGATTTCATGTGCGTATTAATAAACTTTAAAAGTTACAATTTAGGACCTCACTCAACAGTGGCGCTATCTGGTGAGGCAGAAAACGGTAGCCCTCATTGTCAAAAATGTTAGTGAATAGGCCGCAGATCAATCTTTCGCGTCGGTGAAAATACTCCGAGCAAACACATTTCCATCTCTGAGCGGAATTACCGAACGGTTAATATTTACTCTAGATGTGATAAACGCACGATTCAGACAAAATACTGTGCAGACGCAAATAATTAACGCAGTATTTCTATGGACAACACGTTCGGCCGCGGGAGAGGCGTGGATAGGGTTGCCAGATGGCCGGGATTTCCGGGATTGTCCCGGAATTTTGCGTGTTGTCCCTTGATCAGTAATTAGACCTCTAATTAAAAATCTAGTTGTAAATCACTTTTTGTCGATGTAGCTGCATTTTTATCTCTGCTGACTGGACTAAACTTATATGTGTAGTCTATGTATTGTATAATATGTATATATAATATGTATATTTAATTCATAAATTCGTTTATATACCTTGTTTCTTTTACTGACACCGCCGACTCTAGCTTTCTTTCAATCCTCTCAATCCAAAGGTTGTCTGGAAGAAATCGCTTTTAGCGATAAGACCGCCCATTGAAGCACTCTTTTTTTTTACAATTGTAATTTCCCTCATTTCTGTTCTGTGTTGTGGTGTTTTCAATAAAGTATTGTGTATTGTATTGTATTGTAGACCTTATTGTCCCGGATTCGGATAATGTGCTAGTTTCGTAACAAAACTAATAACGAATGTCACCTGCTTGATGTTTTAATTCTGTGGGGTTTAATTTGATGCTTTATTTTTTCAGGAGGGGGGGTTCAAATTTTAATGATTTTAATTTTAATTAAAATTTTAGAAATAGACTATAATATTGTGCTCAAACAACAACGTACAATAAGTACCCCCTCCCCCCCTCTGATAAAAGTACGCGGGTGTCCCCGAAAAAAAATAAAATTAGGCGCAGTTATGACTAGGCGCAGTAACGTTCATAGCGAACTTTATCCGATTAAAAGAGATAAACCCTGTATCCTCCTTTAAAACGTTTATTCCTTTAAACTTCGTGTGAATTACAAGACAACATAATCTGAGAATATTTACTTCCATAGCATACGCTTTTCTAAATTTTCGGGTCATTGTTCAATGTTCGAAAATTCAGCAAAACAAAATCGGAGTAATGCCGCCGACGCCGACGCTGCGGCACATAAATGGCTCATGTTGTTATACTGAAAAAATACGATATACTTATGTAATTGCAATAAATTAATTATACCTATTCATTATATTTCCTAAGCATTTAAATGCTAGATTTTTAAATCTAAAGAAAATTTTACTAGAGAACAATATCCATGCTGTCCAAGCAGCAATCGGGACTCGAAGCCATACCCTCCGCTATCCGGGCGAATGTACGACCTAAGTGACCTTGTCGATTTTTTTATCGGCATCGATTCGCATTGTAGGTAAGCCATAATGTCTAAGAAAGATGGTAAGAGAGCCTTCTCTTAGCGATAAAATAAAAGCATAAAATAGCGGATACCGCATAGTCGATTTTATGCTCTAATTTGAGCTAAAATCACACACACTACTACCCTATACACTACTTACCTTTTGGTGATATTGTGTTTCTGTTGGTGAGTAAGGTTTCAGGGGTCCACGGAAAAGGGGATTGAGTCAGGGTAGACAACGGCACGAGTGAGATAGTTTTTGCATCACATCAAGCGTGAAGTCCAGCAATTGGATTTTGTATACAATAGTGATTTAAAATAGAAATAATAACAAGTTAATCATTCTTCACTCATGTGAAATGGAACACCATCCTTTTGTTAGTTGTTTTGTAAGTACATTTTGGCATTTTTAGTGTTGTAACATACACTCGCGCGAGTTGACTCAGTCTGTATCGTAAAATATCCGAGCGTGTGCAACTAATTTTGTTACACGAGAATGATCAAGAGCCGTGGTCCCACCTAATCAGTATGCCCAATTCGACAGAAGGGAGAGCTTTGTATGCCTCCTCCCCTCCTGGCTGCGTTGGCCTAATAGCGATATTTTTTAAACATGATCCACCTCCAAACGTCGGCCGTCCGTGTTGCTCTGGCTTTGTAACTTTATTCCCACTGTTTCATATTCCCTACTGATGGAAAAATGTATCCAATTATCCCTACCAGCGCGGATCAGTACCCTTAGTACGAGTTTGAGCTCACGAAAACTATCATAGTTTTCGAATTGTAAATTATGTTTCTATGACCATTTTGGTGAAAAGTAATAAAATATACTTAAAATATAAGAAGACGCAAATGATTTAATGATAGAATTTAATCACTGTTTATTAGTATTGAAACGAAAACAATAAAATCAGTACCCTAAGTACGAGTGCGAGCTCAGTACTAAGGGTACTCTAGGGAAATATGGAATAGACAGTTAAGTAGCAATAATTGGAAAAAAACTCCAAATATCCTTACTAGAGTCTGTGCGGAAAGAGAATGGGCGTATCGAAAAACGGAACTAACATAGATTTTTATTTGGCAATCAAACCCAGCAATCTGTAAAACGTCAAAGTTTTGTATTGATACGGATTTGTTTGTTGTTGTGATTTCTTGCGGTTTTTTGTATTTAATCATGTCTAAAAGGGGTAAAACCTTACAAATACTGTAGAAAAGCACGACAACGCCCTCCAATCTAAATCCCATTCTCTTACCGCACAGACAAGTGGAGATGTCAGTAGAGTTATACTTTGTAACTTGGTCTTTTTGTATTCTTTGCAGCAACGCGCCATCTAGCGATGATGCATGAAGTTAGATATCTACTGTGCTTCATAAAGTTGTACATAAGGCAAACCAGATGACACTACGTTTTCTTACTACTGTATCAAGTAAGCTATGTACCAGCAATTTATCGAAGGTTGCACGCAAACATAATATTCTAATCATACACATTTTAACTCGGTTGGCTGGCTAAGCAAGGCACATTTCGCTATCCAAGCATTTCAGTCTACTTTGCTCAGCGTTAATAGCGGAATGTGGAATATGTATTGCTTAGTTTATTTTTGTGAGAAAAACCATCGTACATTCCAAAGCACATTTATAAAAGGTTTTTTTACATCGTAGGTAAATTATTAAAATAAAGGAAACTTGATTTTCTACAATTATGTATTTGCAAGAATCAAACGACAAAACACCGCGCACATACATCCAACA